AGGTAAAAAGAAATTACCAATTTTGAAAATAAAGATAATTTACAGGTACTCTGCTTTTTCTATATTATATAACCTACTGCACTAAATTTTGCTGAATCGTTTCTTTTGCAAAATTAGATTCAGCATTAATTTAGCAAAATTTAATGCAAGTGAACAATGAGGCAGCAAATATTTTATAATTACGATGTTTACCCACAGCCATATTCACTTCTTAAAAAAGCTACAGCAACAAGCGAAAAATTAATCTCTTCAGAGTTTAATGTAAAACAAACTATAATAAAAACTTAAAAACTACATCACCCTGTATATTACCTGATATTTTTTATGTCTCAGTGAATTAACAGTAAAAAACCTTAGTTTATTAAAATTACACTAATTAAAAGCCTAATATTAATCACATGATCACATATTTTTTTGTTGTTTAAACTGTTAATTCTCTTTATTTTTACTCTTAAATTCTGACATACAGAAGTGAGGAATGTAACTAGGGGTAATTCTGTACTAATGGGGAGAACAAAAAGGTGTACCTTAGTACAAGCTTTAGTAACAATTTAAACAAATAAATATCAAAATTATAATTCTAAGTATAAAATCGAATTAGAACAAGATGAAATTTTCTTTTATTGAATATGACATTTTTACTTTCAAAAATAATAAATAAACCAAAAAAATGTAGTTAAATTAAAAACATTTAAAAAAAGCCCCTTTTTGATCTCCAACATTGTGCCCCTTAAAATGACTTACTGTCTAAGCTTGCACCATTGATTCTATTTCGTATGATTTTTAAATAACGCCTTTCGCCTTTACCATAAATAAGTTTCTAATATCTAAAACGGAAAATTCACAAAAATTTGTACAAAAAATACTGTCTTATATATTTATATGTATATACAAACAAGAAAATGTTTATTTACAATTTGAATGAAATCAGGCAAAAGCTTTATTTAAAAAAGACGGGAAGTGAAAGAGAAACACTTAATATACACTTTTATTATAAGCATCTAGGTAATTGTTATTAGCAGGATGCCCAAAAATCAAACAAAGTGCAACATTATTTCTTCAAGAATATCTGTAATTGGATATAATCCGATCGATTTTTAATTAGAGATCATAAACCAAGTATGGAACGCATAAATGTTGCTACCTGTTTAATAATGAAATCATGTTTATTACATCACTGAAAACTAACATGAAAACATTTTTATATCGGTATATTTCGTCAGATGTGTAAGTAATAACCATAGTTATTTTCTTCAACAGACATGTCCTGCGAAAAAGTTTACTTTTAATAAATATAAACAGGTATTAGTTTGCTATTAAAATAATTTCAACGAAACATGGACGAGTTTGTTAAAATTTATCAATCTCGTGTCTAACACATGTCAGCGTTGAAAGTCGATGGCTATTTTTTATGTTAGTAGTGCTTTCTACCTACTGTACCTTAATGAAAAAATTTCAATAAAATGAAAAATGTATAATTTAACTGTGGCGCAATTGATACCAAGATTTGTTAATTTTAAAATGAGAAAGTGCGCAGCTTACAAAATTAAATTTAGTGACGAATTACAGTGTTAATTAAGCATGGTAACAAACTCCTATTCTAATAAAATAAATTATGTCAACCTGCAAACTGAGCCATTCCATGGAGTTGTTATTAATGAGGTGCTTGTAAGTTAAAAAAAAGTGATAAATCAAAAATGATGTTTTTCGAATATAGTTAAAGATATCACTTTTCTTGGAATTATCATTAGTAGGTAGGGTTACCAGATCTATTTCATGACGGACCCGGAGACATTAAATCTGATTAGAAAAGGAATACTGCTTTTTTTTAACTCACAAATATATTATAATTATTCTAAATTGCAACAAAAATATAAATAAGGTATAATTGATGTCTAAAAAAAAAGTGATGCAATAAGGAAATTTGGGAGACAAAATGTTTTCGAAGAAATCGATGCTTAAAAAAAACAAACAGGAAATCTGGGAATGTTTTTGAAGAAATCACAACTTTTTCTTAACAAAGAAAACAAACCCGGAGAAATGATATATTAACCCGGAGCCCGAAGATGTACCATCAAAACTCCGAAAACTCGCCGGAGATCTGGCAACCCCATTTGTCACTGGCACAAATGTATATCTAAATTCAGTGGATTTTTACCGATAATTAAACAAATTATTAGCCCGCTTCAACGTTTTTGGATGAATATCACTCGATGAATTGTCTCTTAACAGTTGTCAACATGCTTACTTAATGCACTGTATATTTAGTTTAAATCCAACAGTCCCCTTATACTCGTATGTTGTTATAAATTTAAAACAATATACTCTGCTCATTACGAAACTAAATTGTCATCGTTTAATTGTAATCGCAGCATTCTTGTCAAAAAAATCTTCAGTACTGCATATTAATGTTAAAAATTGTAACGGCTGTCACGACATTATACAGGGTGTCCCGAAATTAATACAACAAAATTTGGTTACAGATTCTTAAGACAAAGAGTGACTGCAAAAAACCTGTGATTTTCGCCCGTTTTTTCACAATTCGCAGAGAATTTAAAAAAATATAAAAATGTTTTTGGTCACAAATTACTTGTCGTAAAAAACTGAAATGAGCATAGCTTTTAGTACTATGAAAATTTTTAAAATCACCCCTACCTAGGGGTTGGAAAAATACCAAAAATGAAGAATTTGAATATTTCCAATTGATATAAAAACTATTAGCATGTGAATTATCTTAATATATTTTTTTTTGGAATTTTTACTATTAATTCTGATATTCTCTATTTTTGGGGATGATTCCACCCACTGAGCACGCTTAAGGGTGGATTTTCTAATTCATCATGCTTATTTCAGTCATGAGAATAAATCTTTGTATCAAGAATCTTTTGATAGAAAAATTCACATGCTAAGACTTTTTTATTTATTGGCAATATTCAGTTCTTCATTTTAGGCGTCTTTTCAACCCCTAAATAGGGGTGATTTTTGAAAATTTTCAAAAAACTAAAAGCTATACTCATCTTAATTTTTTATGACAAGTAATTTGAGACCAAAAACATATTTTAGGGGAATTCCCCCTTTAGGGGAATCATATTTTTTATTTTTGCCAAGTGGGCCCCTCTTTCGAAGTTACAGCCCCCTGAAATCCGCCCCTAAGAATAATCTTTTTTTTATATCTCAGAACCCTGTTGCACGAGAATCACTAAATTTGGTACACACGGGTTTTATGACATGCGGAATCTGATGGTGCTACACTTTTTGGCGGGGAACCACCTTAAGACATTTTTTCGTGGGTCCCCTTGTCTTTAGAGCCACCAAAAAGCGTAGCACTATCAGATTCCGCATGTCATAAAACCCGTGTGTACCAAATTTAGTGATTTTCGTACAACAGAGTTCTGAAATATAAAAAAGGCTATTCTTAGGGGCAGCTTTCAGAGGCTGTAACTCTGAAAGAGGGGGCCACTTGGAAAAAAGAAAAATACGGATCCCCTAAATTTGTCTTAAGAATCTATAGACACCCTGTATTCTAAGCAAAATACATTTTTATTTTGATAACAATTATCAAGGTGTATACCACATTTTAACCAAAATGTGTCTTTATATTTTCAAGTTTCCTGTAATTTCTATGCTATTACTGAACCATTATATTTCATTTTTTTGTCATCTTCCTTACAAATATTTAAGAAAGCATGGTTATATAGAAAATTATTTGTATCAAATGGAAAAATAGTTTTATAATTTTAGAAAAAAAACATTCCGACAGATTTTCGTTTCAGAAAAAAATTGCATTATGTATGCAAATATGTGGAATCTTTGCCTGGGAAGAAATATATTGATAAATTCGTACTCTGAAAAAATATGTAAAAAGCCCAAGTTAAAAATAAATGTGCCACACTTTAAGAGAATTTAAAACTTGACATTTTACCCATTTTTTTTCAATATTAACTTAATTTCAAAGCGAGAGTTTAAATTCTATCGACACAAAGGGATTATATTAAAATTTGGCTGATAATTCCCATATTTTTTCTTAAATCTAAGAATCATTTTTAATTTTGGTGATTATAATAAATTCACTCTCCAAAATTTCAAACTGTACTAGTAATAAAAAAAATATTTGACTATTTTTTTCTAGAATCACAATTAAGAAATACCCGACATCCAGTTGCAGTACTTCGTAAATAAAGGCCAATTACAATTATTTTACAAAATCTGAAAATCAGAGAAATTCCCTGATACCTCCAGATCTATGAAATTTCGACAATTCCAGGATATCCCGGTTTTCCAGGACATGGAAATGGAAAATTTTGAATAATAAGAAAACAATTTCAGATTCTATACCAATATAAAAAAATTTTCAGATGACGCAATAAATCACACATTTAAAAACTGTAAATTTAGTTTTATGAAAATTACATAAAAAAAAATAATACATATTTAAATATCGGTAAAAAATACAAAATGGTTTAATTGTGTAAGTACATTTAACAAACCTTCATTTACAAAAAAAAAATAATAAGTTACTATAATAATATATCGACAGCCTCATATGGGTATAACTAGTTACAATGACAGTAATAACTACAAAAGAAGAAATAAGTTATTAAGAAACTTTTTTATTTATCTTATTCATTTTTTTTCTTTTGGAAATGCCTGGGATTTTTTGAAAATTAAATATTACATGATGAGTGAGTAATTTTCACTAACAATCAATAACGTGAATACATAAATATCAAAAGGTATAAAAATGACTCGTTTTCATTTTTCTCTGCAGAACACATACATGAGGTGGCCCAAAATATTTCAAATTAATAAAAAACGATTTAACTATTTTCCACGATTATTTAGCACTCCATATATCTTTTTTATTAACAGTAAAAGGCGGCTTCCGACATCATAAAAATAAATAAAGAGTAATAGCGTTTTTCTTTTTCTATTTGTTAATTGCTATAACAAGATCATGCAATAAAAAAGCTATAGGGAATGACTAAATAAAACCACCAATATAAGTAACAATTGTTTATTTTTTTCTTACTTCCTTCAAAAGCCTGAAAGCTTTAATTATCACATAATATATTCTACATCTTTTTCCAATTTCAGACACATTTGTATATAAGGTACGGTATCAGAGAAGATTGTGCAACATTTCACTTTCTTATGTAAAAATCGGAAAATATTTCATTTTTGTATACCAAAACGTTATTTGCAAAATAATATATTTTTGACATGCAATATTTAGAATACCAAGAGAAATTAACATTCAACAAAAATGTTGGCAACAAACTTCACTTTTACATTTAAATATTATAAAATTTATATATTTTATGATTTTCACTATAAACATGTAATACTTGACATCTTTACCATAGAGTAAAACTGAATAAATTTAAAATGTGATTTATTACTCCAATAAACTTCAAAATGCAATTTAACATTAAAAAAAAACTGTAAAATAGGATTGATTTCAAATAAATAGCAATAATTTAAATTGTCGTTATATTCTGTATATTGCGGCACTTCGCAGATTACATAAAAAGTACCTATGAATATATTTTTATAATCGGTATAACATGATTTTCCGTGCCATTTATTACATTAAAATCAGTACGAAAAATTTAAAAATAAAAATATCCATCTTCATTTCTATAAAAAATAATATCACAAAACATTGTTAGCCCACCACATATATGACATAAGACTTAGGAACGAATATAATTAGTTATAATGCAAGAATATAAACTTCTAAGCAGAGAAAAATATGAAAACTCTTTTCTTTTTTTTTGTATCTTAATTACAACTTTTTTTTAGCATTGTGATACACGAGTTACTATATGTTATAAATGGTAAATTAATGTAAAATCTTGCAGGCATATTCTCAACCTTTTTTTTAACAGAATCAGCAACATAACACCCTGATAGTAGTCAGTAGCCACACCCTGCAGCCGTATTGGGGCCACAGGTCGAACATTGATCATCACGTTACCTCCATTATTAGATTATTCTTGCGGACTATGGTTTTTGTTTTGTTATTACTGGACACAGGCCCACCTGTAGCGTCAGTGCCCAGTTTATTCGTGTCCGGCTCACTGGTTATTGGAATATCCAATATATTGGCACTAAAAAATATTACTGTAAGAACTCAAACACTTTTCAGTTTCTCTGCAGACACCCAACAATAAGTAACAGTCTGTTCAGAAATTTTTTGTTTAAAAGAAAATTCAGTGTATCTCCAGTGAACAATAAAAACATTCTTTAGTGGTCAAGAATTGCAAAAAACAATTACAAACAGCGATATCGATGATTTAAAAAAGATTTAAATTTTAATTTAGGTTTGTATAACCATTCCATACTAATCTTTTATATTTTCATAAAAAGTCGGTATATAAAAGCAAAATCGCAATAATAAAAATATCTACGTGAATACAGAAGAGTAACTTTCAAACTTTACACAGGTTATTAACTGCTAAAAATATCAAATAGTCAAATCTATAGGTGTACCAACTACTTGCTATATATTATCTTTTATACCTTATTATTCTCCTAATTATATAGCTCCAAATACTCTTGATTAGGTGCAGAGCTACATTAAAACTCTATTTTAGGTGAACTAGTTTAAGATATTACTACTGATACTAGATACAGTCAAAGCTCCTTATTCGAGGGGGTAGGGATGCCACAGCTACCGACATTTCGGTAGATCTACCGATTGTAGCTTATATCTACCGAAATACCGATTTTTGTCCAAATTCTACCGATAAATTTACAAAACACTCACTCGAAAAAAAAACAAATGTAAAATAAAATTTAGGTATATTATCCACATTGAATTTTAAACGAAAACAAAACTTTTGATCAAAATCACATATTTAACATAACCTTAAAATTGTGGTGGTTTCTTTTTTCTCAAAGGCAGTTATTATTTTTATTTTAATTGTGCACATAGGTGTACCTAAACGATATTTAAAATCAATTCAAATGGCAAATCAAACAGTAAACAAAGTCCTGTTCTTTTCAAAATTGGATTCATGGATCTAGTTTGTGTTTGTCTGATCATGATTCAAAGCTGAGAGCAAAAGAAAACGGCTATTATACAAATAGAACGGTGTTATTTTTTTGTTCTATTTTATTTTGTTTTTAACAACGACCTTTTAGATCATCATAGAATAAATGATATTTTTAACTCAAATTAGCTATTACTTATTATTTACATAAAATTAGTGATGGGAGCATTCGAATGCAAGAATCGATATGCATTCGATTCTTAAAAGTTCTCACTGTTCTCGAGAACTTTTATGCAGGCATTCGAATACTTGCGAATTCTTGATGAGGTTTCGAGTATCCCTCAGGACATGCAGATAGATGGACTAGACACTAAGCGGATGTGCTTTAGAGGCCAAAAATTGAATAGGATGTAATCTTTCCAAATGTTTTTTAAGATTTGTTGTATTGCCAAATAATTTAAACTTCTTTTTACACAGTGATCATATTGCATATTTCTTATCATTACTTTTTTTAAAATAAAATCCCAAACTAACGATTTGCAGCCAGGCTTCATTTTAAAAATAATAATTCAATAACTAACTATAAAATAACTAAAAACATTAAGATTTAATAACGGAAAATGATCCGTAAAACAAATCACATCTCTCGTTCGTTGTGAGGCTTACCTTAATTACTAACTGCTAAGCAAACCGTCGATGCGAGTACGAGAACAGAGTTGGCTTATGCGAAATAAGAATATCCCGATGATGCATTCGAATCCACACCGTGTCGCCAACATACACTGATTCTGCATTGCCGCTGTTCTCGAGTCCTGTGTTCTCGGATACTCATTTGGTCTCGGTGGGTCTAGTCTTTTGTCCGGTACTCGGTTTTCGGTTCTCAGTCTCGGTGTCGGTCTCGGATAATCATTCAATTTTTAAAAGTATTTGAGAACTAAGTTCTCAATTCTTAAAAATACTCGATTCTGCCCATCACTACATAAAATACAAATCTACCGAAAATTTATGAAATTACCGAAAAATCCTGAGCATTTATACAGAAATATATGGTCCGAGCTGTGGCAACCTTGCGAGGGGGATATATTCTGAAAATGTACCGCGAATACGGAGTGGCATTTTGTATGGAAATATAGGGGATACGTTCCCATGTTGTTTAAAGAACTTAGTGATTTTTTTTCTTGTTTTGCAGCTAATAATTTGCAGCCTTTTAATTCGGATTGACATTCAGCTGTAGCATTATCAATTTGCTTCTTAAAAACAAGACTTCTTCCTTTCTTTTAATCTGTAGAAATCACAAAACTCTTTTGCCATCTGAAAACCTTCACTCAGGTTTTTTAAGTTTAATGTCACATTTATCAAAGGCCATGGTGGCACGTGTAAGCGAGCAGCATCAGCTGCGACTTTTGTCAAAGGACTTTCGGCTTCACGACACAGATTTGTTTGTTTATAAATATTTTGATACCTAGTTATTTATTTTGACAAATAAATACACATGATTCTAAAAATGCAATATGTATCGTTAGTTTTGGATCCGCAAATACAGAATTTTTCACGTGAATACGGGAAGTGGTCACAATTTTTTGGTCAGCGAATAGTGAATCCGCGAATATAGGAACTGCAAATAAGGAGCTTTGACTGTATTAGATTAAAAATTAAATAAAACCTGTACAGTAAATAATTTTTGCCATAGGAAGTGCATGGAACTATAAAAACGGCTATAAAACCAAACAGGGGTTCTACCTTTCAATGTTTCCCTCAAGACATGAGAAATAAATATAAAAAAAAAATGTTAAATTTTTAGTTCTTCAAGCGGAAAGTGTGCAAATTTTATTTTGCTGAATAATTATAACCACTTTTTAGAAAGACAATTAATGATTTTGTTCTTTTTGTTTTTGTGTGAAAATCAAAGTATATTTAACAATTAATATTTTTATGATACAATAGTTTTGCTTAGCTGCTCATTTTCTTTGTTAGAAAGGTAATCTCCATGGAAAAGTGTTTTTTTTTTAGGCATCTTTGAAGATACCTGATTTTTATTTAAATGTTTGCAAAAATTAAAATACCCATTTGATATGATAGAGAAATTTTATTGATTAAAGATTTGGCTGATTTTCATGAACTTAGATTTTTGGATAGAGCTCTATACGAAATCTCGTATTTTTTACATCATTGCAACATTGGTTGATTTTCTGTTGTAGCTAAGTTTTTAATTGTTTTTAACAGACTGATTTGCTCTCATTCTATATCTTAATTAACAACAGAATAATGACTTGAATCAAAAACAAATTGTTCAGACTAGGATTTGTTGATTCAAGGCATCTACTATTGTAACTAGCACACCCTACAGAATGTTTTACATTAAAAAAAAAGTTATTACCTTTTGTATTCTATATACAGGGTGTCGCGCTTAAATGAGACACAAGCCTGTACCTTCTTTATTTTTTGATCGATTTCAAAATTTTTTTATTTTGGAACGTAGGCTAAAAAAAAACTCTATCTAACTGTGATATTACTGTTTTTATAAATACAAGTCACGGCCAACTAGGGTGCATTTTCTTGACATCTAAATAGCTGATTGGTATTATTGATTTAAAAAAAAAACAGATTACATATTCTCATTCAGCATCCCTTAAAACATCTTACCACTAAGTTTCATCAAAATCGATACATCTTCAGGCGAGCACTCCATGATGTTGCGAAATGTAATACAAACCTGTAACTTTATTTTTTGGCTGATTTCAAAAATTTTTTTTTATGGAATGTAGGATAAAAAAGATGTATCGAATTTGATGAAACTTGGTGATAACACTTTTTTAGGGATGCTGAATGAGAATACGTAATGTTTTTTGGAAAAAAAATCGCTAATACCAATTAGCTGTTTTGACGTCAAAAAAACGTGTCCTAATTGGCCCTGTATTGCTTTCATGAAAACATAAGCATTACAGTTAGGTAGTTTTTTATCTTACATTCTAACAAAAAAATTTTTAACTTGAAAAAAAAATAAAGAAGCTACAGCTATCACATTTAAGCGTGACACCCTGTATATGCTAAAATTGAAAATTATAATAAATTTTTGTATCTTATTGTCGTTATTGAAGAATAAACCTATAATTCAAAACAATATCTTCAAAATTAGGCTAACCAGAACTGAATAATTCAACTTTTAAGTTGAACCTATTTTTTGTGGTGAGTTAATTTTGACATATGGTGTATTTTCTTATACATACATACATAAAATAATTCAGGTTATCATAAAAACAAAAGCTACTTTACATAAATTGCAATCTGAACAAACCATTCCTGTCAGTTTCGATTAAATTTGAATGGATATAATCCAACTCACTAAAGAAAGAAAAAAACTTACCTATGACTATTAAGCGTAAGAGTATGGGCAGAGGTGTGAAGACTCAATGTGCCAGAAGAAGCATTTGGGTATCCCACCCCGCTAGAATAAGCGTATGATAACTTATTATTTCTCTTTCTGTTGGGAGGTACTGAAAAGAAATAAATTCGGATCAGATATTATAACACAAAAAAATTACCCCCTTAGTAAAATTCGATATTTATAGATTGACTTGAACCCAATTTTTTAAAAAATGTAGAATACCTTAATTTGGAAAAATATATAATTTTAATTTCAACAAAAATTGCCTAAACTTTTTTAATAAGATTTACTTCTTACAATCACAGAAATTTGATGGGGCAGAAGTCTAATCAGAATAGTCAGAAGTTCTCGGTCTGATTTCGGTCTAGTAAAATATTATTAAGTAAGAAACAATGTGTGCATTCATACTATCCGTAACAGTCATGGTCCAGTCGAATCCGATTCCAGTCCCGATCAGTCTCGAAGAAATTTTGTTTGAGATATAATAGCTAATTCTTCAGTAAAAAATTTAAAGACATTTTTCAGTCGCAAATTTTACAAGCAATTAAATACTTTTATAATGTTAATTTTATTATTAATTAGGAGCCAAATACATCCGACTTCCATTATTGATGGTTCTTGACTGAATCGTGAACTGAGTCAGATTGTATAATGAGAACATGATTAGACTTTACCAGACCGAAATCGTCAGCTATCTTTGCAGCATATTTGCAAGTGTTGTGCCGTGTAGGTATATTTCAAATTTATGAGGAATTAGGGCTAGTCTAACCAGTACGTGCCATTGACATTATTGAGTTTATAATAAATATAGATTGTTCTGTCCCTCAGTGTTATTGTTATTACCTTATCGAACCACATTTTCCTGTTAACTAATTATACTAAAATATAAAGTGCCACAACAAATGTGTCTTGTCCACATTCTGTAGACGTGAAAGTCTTTTGCTTCCAATACGTAATAATACTTTACATTATAAGACCATTATACAAGGTGAAATTCTGGGTGGCGGTCATAATTATACCCTTTCCTTTGACCTTTAGAAACACGTATCAATAATTTATTTTTTCAAATTCCATCGTAAAAACTTATTTTTTTTTAACCTCTTTTAGTAATTTCCGTAATCTGCCGCCGGACATGCTAATGTAATCTCAAACAACAGCACGCTTTAGTCGTAGCGCTTGCACAATTCCATACTATTTGCAACGAGTTACTTGTGTTGAGCAGGTGTTCACCACACAAACAGTACTTAACAAGTAATCTAGCTAAAAACTCAAGCAGTAATCAATAATGATAAATGAAATACACAAAAATTAATAGTCTGTTGATGAGCTTCCAGTGGTGAAAAACATTTAAATTCAAAGTTAGATGTACTGTCTCTCTTCACATGCATTGTAGGTTGCCTACAATTCATGCATTCGTAACATATGATTACAGTGGCGGCATACACAAGTATTAAAGTGCATTTTAAGACTCATTATAACTTGATTATTTATTTGATAAAAAAAAAGAATTTCTGATTCATATTCAGGGGAACACGTACTATTACCCCTAAAAAACTGACCCCAAACGTTTTTATTTGAATAAAAAAACATTCAAATAGTTTATGCTTATTTAGACAAGCAATACGAAATAAGGATAACTTTGATGTAAGGAGGAATATTTATTTAGTTTCTGAGAAAATGACATTAAGTATTTCAATGAGCATAAAGCTAAAAAAAAAATAAATTTCAAAATATATGGTACAGAGGATTTTTTTGGAATTCTAATGAAATATGAATCAGGAAGTGTTTAGTTCCTGTGATTTACAGTATTCAGGTTGAAATTAATAAAAAGACTTTTTTATTTATACAATGCGCCTGCAACAAATGCAAATTTACAGATATTTGATTATTTATCTTTTAAGTGACATTTAGTGACAGCATCTGGTAAATAAAGACAGATATAACTGATATTTTAAAACTTACCAGGAAAATATGAGAAATTCCATGATAATTTCCTGACACTTTTAGACCCATGAAATTCCACAATTTTCCCAATTTTCCAGATTGATATGCACACCGTATAAACATCAGTTATGTAATATATAATACAATTTATGTGTAATGATATCACAGATAACATTTTATATATTTTTTCTAATTATCGAACTCAGTTTACAAAAAAAAAATGTTTAAAACTCGATTGTGAAATATTTTTCATTCTCAAATGATTTTCTTGTTAGCTGTCTTATAAAAATAGTGGCTGCTCAGTTAAAAATTTGTTGCTGTCTTGCACTTGTCTAAGAATAATAAACAAAACAGTCACTGGCCAAATTCAAAGAAATTAAAAAAAATAATTGTGATTTTTCTATATTATTAAAATGCATTAAATACATTTGGAAACCAAACAGAGCAAGAAATCTGTGAAACTCATTTTTTTCTTTTGTCTATTCAAGAATTTGTTGCAGACATGTATTAAGTACCATATGTATATTCTCACTCTAAAAAATAATGATGTAGCGTTCATTTTCCATATATTTCAATAGTACTTAAAATAAAACTACCCAATTATATTTGATTTTTTTCAATACTTATTGTACCTGTATTGTACCTAAGTAATTTTTTTGCAATNGAAGCTGAATAAAATAAGTCTTAAAACCAATAACTAATAAATATGAAAAAATAGTACCTATAACCCAGTAATAATTTTAAATAAATAACTTTTTATTGAGACTTATTTGAAAAAAAATAGATTCTCATTCAAATATTTCAGAAACTATTTTTCGGAAATATTTAAATTACAAACGTAAATTTAATCAGTGGCGGCTCGTGGTTTTTTGAGATGGGTGGGCAAAATATTTTTTCTTTCATGTAACTTAATATCATATAGGAATAATTGCACTCTACTGGCCTACTAATTTATTTTCTATATCAAAATTTTATAAATTTTCTGTTAACAAATGATCCGCAGCTTTTTCCCCTTGCTTACATAAAAAAATCCCATAAATCTTTCAACTACTTTACCACAATGAACATATCTAAAAACTACTAATAACTGAGATAAGCATTTAACATCCGTTGTTTCATTTGGGTACTTGCCCGCAAAATATAGTATCGAAAGTCAACGTACTAAATTCTATCTAATAAAAAAATTAACAATACATTAACATTGCTACTCACCAATTCGCAAATTTCACTTGCCATTTTGTTTTACTTTAAACTAGTTTAACAGCAACGAGTTAAAAAAAACTTAATAATTATAATTATCATTATCACAGAATATTCAACATAGCACCGTAGATATTTATTTTTTAACTCGATTTACAAATTATTATAAAACGGTTTATTATTTCATTTATTAAAATTTGTTTTCTGGAATGCCTTTCCAGGGAAAAATTGTTCTAATGTTTAAAAATTGATTTAAAGAACAGCAAATATATATATGTATTTCCAATCGCTGGCGAAAAGCCATATGCGGGCTTGCCCGGCGTGGCGCAAATATTATGAATTGGTAAACGACTTACTTTCCGATTACTCTCTAGTCATAGGTACGTATAAGCAGGCAAGGGACGGCGTCGTTTAGTTCAGCTTCTACGGGTCAGCCCGAATGTAATGTTGGTTGCTGCTGAGATCATGATTAAATGATAATTGTAAAATTTGATAGCAGGAGTTTCAAAGGAGGTAATGCAGTTTAGATTTAATTTTATAAGAATTAGGTCAAATTACTATGGTATATGTATACACATTTTTCTTACGCAAGCCCTTCACGAATGCAAATACTTCACGTCCATTTTTACTTCACGGTAATAGTAGTCAACAATCGTTCATGGCTTAAAGGTCACACATTTTAGATACATGACATGGACATGACATTTAAACAGTGACATTTCTTGTGTGCAAAAATGGAATTTTTAAAGGCAGTAAATTTTAGATGTAGGCCCTATTATTTTACAGAAGCAAATACTTCACGACCGCAATTACCTACTTCACTTCTGCTGTATCATGGACGCCAGTAATCGTTCATATTATGTGCAAGGTTTTTTGTATACACATAACACATACATAACATAGATATGATACAATCAGTGACGTTTCTTATGCGAAAATTACTTCGTAAAACTATATTTTGTGGTAAGGTTGAAGGAAAAAGCTATTTATTTATACAGTTAACNAACAATACATTAACATTGCTACTCACCAATTCGCAAATTTCACTTGCCATTTTGTTTTACTTTAAACTAGTTTAACAGCAACGAGTTAAAAAAAACTTAATAATTATAATTATCATTATCACAGAATATTCAACATAGCACCGTAGATATTTATTTTTTAACTCGATTTACAAATTATTATAAAACGGTTTGTTATTTCATTTATTAAAATGTTGTTTCCTGGCAACAAAATTACAGCAAATAAATATACATATGTGTAATTAAAATCGCTGGCGAAAAGCCTTAGCTGGCTTTAGCCGATACAGCACTCGACGGGCATATTCGAGCTTGCCCGGCGTGGCGCAAATATTCTGAATAGGTAAACCACTTACGTTTCCGATTACTCTCTAGTCATAGGTACGTATAAGCAGGCAAGGGACGGCATCGTTTAGTTCAGCGGCTATGGGCCAGCCCGAATGTAATGTTGGTTGCTGCTGAGATCATGATTAAATTATAATTTTAAAATTTAGTACCTAGCGGGATGGGAGTAGTAAGGAGGTAATGCAGTTTAGATTTAATTTTATAAGAATTAGGTCAAATTACTTTGGTATATGTATACACATTTTTCTTTTATTTTTCTGAAATTATCAGGGTGGGCACTTTGGTCTGTTTGTGTTGATAAATTGTTCACATTTTTGCGTTCACAGACACAACTAACTTTAGACATCCTGATATGGACCTATGGTAAACTATTAGAATTTTTTGGCAACCCAAAACACAACTAGCTTGGGATTTTGTTGCGTTAGCAGTTAGAGTCAGCCACTTGACAAATTTTGTGAAAATTCTTTTGGTTTAATTGTCTCTAACCTTAATAATCACAAATTATGGGACAAGTTCATGTTAAAATTAAATAGTTATTGCGAAATGCCACTTGTTTAAATATTGTTATTAATAAATAACAAAGCAAAACTACTCAAATCGGTAAACTACTGCATGAGACAAAATAATTAGACAAAGATAGAAATACTAACTCGATCCAAACCTATATCACAAGTATGGTTTGCTAGTATGGCAAACTCGGACAAACCGAGTTAACTTAATTTCTCACAAAAATGTTAAACCACAGTTAACTATAGTTGACTACGTTGGCAGTTTCTTGCCAAAAAAACTCTGTAGGTGCTTTTAAGAACTGACAATTATGCAGTGCAATTATTATATGGCGAGAATACATGCAGACGCTGACAAGAACTAAAAGCTGCTGCATGTCTGAGCCTGTCCGGCAGCAGGATAAGAAAAAACAAAAAAAAATTAAAAAAATGTATGTTTCCACGACAGAATTTGATGATATATGTTTTTATAACTACAACCTATATAAAAACTGGAAACAAATACAATTAGGAATACTCACCCTCAAATCCAAATTGAGTCAGTAAGCCGTTAGTGTTGCCAAGCGAATTTTGATCGGTGTTGTTCCTGGGTCTGCGCCCTTCCCCTGTCGTCACTGTACTTACACTATTAAACTTAGGACTAGTCAAGGTACTCGAAGAAAAAACTTTTTTCTGTTTAGACATATCCACGGTCTCCATCTGACTTGGACCGCCGCCGAAGCTGCCCAAATCTGTGATAGTAAACCTAGAACATCCGATAGTCCTGTAGTCACTGTCACAGCTCACGTCACAGTTTGTGTCACTTAAATTAAAACTATCGTTGAGGATAACGTTATCACTGTGGACAACATTACCGTTACTATTAACACTAGGTATAAGCGTATTAAGCGCGGATCCCGTCTGAATGTGTCTGTCACTGGATTGCCGCGTGTCTGTTACAGGGGTATCTAAATCCAAATTGTCAAACATAAATGGATCGGTGATAAATGTGGAGGTGTCCAACAGCGTGCTGCTGGGTGCTTCCAACGTCTGAATCTCCATAGAGAATGGCATGTTGGCACTGGGGTTGAAGAAGGTATCCTGCGACAAGAGCATATCGCAAGGCGGCTCGTATTCGGGTGGTGGCGTTTTCGGTCGAAAATGTAACCTATAAAGAATTAATTTTTCAAAATTTAATCAGAACAAATAAATAAATTGTTATATTCTGATTGTAAGCTTACTCAAGTTCAATATTGTAACATTGACATTCCTAAAATCTAACATAAATCCCTAAATAGATAATAAAAATTTCTCCAGGATTTTTGATTTTCAAAAATGAACCTGAAATAAAACTAAGTTTTGACGTTTCAATTTTCCTACATTTCTTGGGGAAGCACGATTCAAATGATTTTTTTTATATGTATTTGCCGAGCTCATTACAATAATTCAGTTACTCCCTATTCTGATCTAGAATTTTGAAAAAATCAATTTATTTTGCATATTCTTAAAGTTTAGACATTTAAGAATATGTCCTCGAGAGAAAATTAAAAAATTCCAATAATTTATGGAGTCACGCCGGAGCATATCAGACAATAGACGGTGGACAATGTCCGACTACTCGACCATTTTTGATATAAATCTCGGTATAAATACAATATATAAGTGTATGAATATAGTTAACCCAAAACACTTGAAAATCGTTTAACCGAAGATTGTAGTAACGTATTATTTTGAAAATCTAGGTAGGGGCTATAACGACATCTTTACTAATTAAGAATCTTTTTGTAATTTTGTTTCAATAAATACGTTGTAAAAATATAATGGTAAAAATATGTTTGTTTTTTTTTTATAAAGCTCGACAAAACGCCCAAAATTTATATGTCACAACTTTATCGATTATAGTCCTTCCTAAAAGTGTGGCTGTGGATGATTTCACACCGGTATAAAAATACCCCATTAATAAACTATCCCGGCATCCTTGAAACCCCTATTATCTCAAATTTTAAATTTATTGGTAAATAATAGTGTGCTTAGATATTTTTTATTACTCATTAGGGTTGAGGGTTAAGTCCTATCTTTTCGCTTGTTTTTTAGGCTGTTTGCCTACTCTATTTATTTGCGTACGGTAATCACACTTGTCGCCCGCAAATTGACAATAAAACACGCAAAATTTAAATACCCACTTCAAATAGTATATCGTGCAATAAGTTGTGTATTGCCCAGGAGAGAAGAGTTGAGCAGTGAAACCTTAGGATCAAGGGGCGAAGCACCAGTGTGGAGTCCACAGATTTTTATTAAGTTTAGATTGACATAAATAACTATCTACTGTCAATAATATTTTCGAGTATGTATCTAAATTTTGACTAAGATTTCACCGCATTCGTAATAAAAAATAGTATGTGCAATTCGTGCGGTTGTTACTATTATTGCTCATTTGAGCAGATTGTCCAATTCCGCTCTCGTGGGCAATAGACAACTTTTCGCACTTATTGCACAATATACTATTATTTTCACAATTTTAAGCATTCCCAATGCCCATTATATTTCACAACTTGGATAATTGTCATTTGTCATTGAAATATTCCCTCTGTGGTTACTATAATTTACCAGTAATTAACACTGTCAGTAATTAGCTAATTTTAAAAAACAGACATTTCAAATGCTTGATTTTTAAAACTAAGAAAAAAGCATATTTGAAACGTTAAATGTATAGGTATTAAAAATTTATTCTGCATTATAAACTGATTTTCTGAAAAATAGTTTGAAACAAGTAACAGCAGACTGTTGGATCAACGTAATTGCTCGCATAATTGGTTCAACAGGTACATTTAAAAGGTCACTATATAAAGGGCGACTCAAAAATAACTCCGAGGCATTTAATTCTTTAAAAGCAACAGCATTCTTATTATCTATCACTCAAGCATAAGTCGAAAAGCTCATTGAGTTAATAATAAACAATAAGGTCAAAAATGTGAGGTAATTAGTGTAATATTTAGACAAGCAAAGTATTTTAAGCTAGTGAATCATTTTCCATAAAATATTCATAAACTTTACTTAGGCGTAAGTGTTCCATGTTCTAAATTGCTTTATAATTCAAATAGTTCCGTGATGGATGAGAAATATAGGGGGCTAACTACACACAGCCCCACATATATATTTTTTTCTTGTTCTGGAATGTACTTCAATAGTTCTACAGTGCTTTACAACATTCAGATTTAGTTCTGCAACTTTTAAAAACAAACATAGTTGGGGGTAGAACTTGCAAAAATTGATATTTCGTGAAAATAGCAGGAGTTTGGCATTGTGCTCTTATAGTTCTACTATTTTCTGCAAACCGCGTCGCTCTAACCATTCTAGTTGCGGAGATATCGAATTCTCTGATTTGAAATTTCAATCAAGGAGTTCTGGTGAATATAACAGTAGTTCTGGATTGTACTCGAATAGTTCTACTATTTCTCGGAAACTGCGTAACACTAGCTGCTATAGTTATAGAGATATCGAAATTAATTAATTTAAGAAGTATTTATGAGTATCGAAATGAGCAAGAAATTTATTAAATTAGTAAATAGGTTTATTAAATTTTAAAATGTTTACTAAAACATAATTCCCAATATTTTTTCCATTTAAATAAAAGAAACTGCTACCGGTTCTGTTGGTGATATGGAAATGTTTACATGTTTACACAAGACATTCCCCTCATACTTAGTAGTTACTGTATACTGCACACAATCTGTATAGACTGTCCGAAGATGATGGAACAAAATTCATATTTTTTTCCAGTTCAGATTTAAAAAAATCACTGAATCACTTCTAAAGACGAATTCAGCGATATAAGGTTATACCTACCTTTTTGTCAGTTGTCAAAAAAATGTAAAAAATTGTCTTTTATGTCGTACTGATGACTATTTCAATCATAGTCTGTTCTGTACTTTAAAAAACGTACCTACTCTTTATTAATCTTTTTCTACTTACTTTAAAGCTTTTTTGTTATTTCTCAAAAAAAAAAACATATTGATAAACACAAAATTCACCAGAGTACCTTAGGTATAACGGGAATCGTTTTAGTTCCAATTCGTTAAATTATTTTGGAAAATGGTTGCCCATTTAAGCGAAAAACAGAGAATTTAAATTTTAATTATGATTGGATGCAGAGATAAAATCCGTAGTCAACAGGAGGTATGTGACTTATTTTACCACGAGTATCCAGACCAGAGAATTAGTCGAGCTACAATAAGTATCTAAAAAGTTTGAAGAAACTGGAAGTATAAAAGATTTACCTGGATCAGGAAGGCAAAGAACGGTAAGCGAAAATGACCGTTAAAATGTGATGCTGTGAAATCTTGAAAGTGACATCCTAACAAAGTTAACGTCTTACAAGAACTATGAGCAGATGTCACAGACAGAAGATTACAGTTTTGCAAGGAAATTAGAAATTTATTTGAGACAACCCAACTTAAAAAGTTACATAATTTTCACTGAAGAAACAACTTTTTGTTTAAAATGAACCGTGAACAGACAAAATACTAGGTTTTAGAGCCCAGAAAATCCACATTGCATGCAAGAAAAACATACATAACGGCCCGAAAAAGTGAATGTTTGGGCTGAAATAGTAGGAAATTGCATACTGAGACCTTATTTGGAATTAATTTTTCCTAAACGATATGCCTACTGGTGATGTCTGGTTCCAACAAGATCCTCTTCCACATTTTCGCTTCGATGTTAAGATATTACCTTAATGAAGTTTTCCCAAATCGATGGATACGCAGAAGAGGGCTGCTTGAATGGCCACCACGCACCCCAGACTTAACCCCACTAGTTTTTTTTTGTGGGGGTTATTTAAAAAGCAAAGTGGATGTGAACAGACCAGAAGGATTGAAAAATCAATCGTATCAGAGAAGAAGAACGAAACATAACACCAAATGTTATTCAAAAGGTAATTGATAACTCTGAACACCAAATTGGGCATTGTGCAATGATTAATGGGGGCCACTTTGAACAATTGCTATAATAAAATAAAAAGTACTAAATTATTGTTTTCACTTAATTCTTCCATTTTTTGATAACTATTTATGACAAGAAGGTAGGTATAACCTTACTATAAAATATAGAGCAACCTATTAAAAAAAATGTCGGTAATGTTATAGGTCTGTCAAACATGGCTCAAAAAAATAGAAAATATTGCAAAAAAATGTCAATTTCTTATTTACAAATTGACCCATTTCAGCGATTTTTTTAAATTTCAACTGGAAAAAAATATGAATTTTGAGACACGTATACTGAGCTCAAAACACATCACTGGCACACCAGATGTTATCAACAGCTATGTGCAGTATAATTGGTCTCTGTGCCATTAAAATCAGAGGTTCGTTATGTATTCATGAAAAGTGGCACATATCTGAAGAGCGTTTATTCTATTAAAAGTATGTTGAATTAATCGCTCGCTACCTAGCGCTGGATTTTACAGCTGTATACCACTATCCAGGCCTTACTTGTACCAACTCTTCGATTCACACAAATTATAGTCTAACTTACTAAAAATATAAATTTTTAATATAACAAGTCAGTACATCATGTTGTGTCATACAAGTCAGGCTTGTCTTTCAACCAGTCAACGTGCTGGAACTAATTAATAAACAGATTTAACTGAAGCGATAATGTATCGCATATGCCTACCCGTCTATTTCTTGCTAGTAGTTCAAATCTACTAGTCTCCGTCAATAATTAAATAACCAGATTTGTACATACCAATCCCTCCTGAGCGACCTGAGAAAATCGACCATCTCGTCTTTCTCCTCTATCGAGTACACCGGCTCCAGAAGCGCTACCCCCTCCTCCTGAATATCTAAGGGCTCCGTTTTAATCTCGACTTTGACGTCGCCCCCACTTCCGCTACCGGCACTCTCACTTGTCCGCACATTACCTCTATTCACGTTAATAACACTAAACTCACTTTTAATATCAGTTTGGATACCGTTCGAGCTGTTCAGTTCCACCGAAACAGACTCCAAAACGTCCTTCTTCTCCTGGAGATCGCTGGATTCTATAATGGAAAAGTCCAGTGTCCTCCACAAGTCGTCGTAATCCGTAGACGCACGGTCGAACATTATCCTACCTCCCCTGCCCACCCGACGCCTGGCGAAGCCTATACATCGGCGGGGGTTGGAGAGGGAGGTCAGGGTGAAACGGAATCGTTTGTCTGCCATGCCGTTCTCTTCCTTCGAACACCACGGCCAGTTTCCTTCATGGGGTAGAGGCTAGAAAGGAATAATAATTTACTCGTTTCATTTGAATCAATATAAATGGGCAACTTTCTTTCGTTAATTTAAAATCAGTCAGTATTTGATTATTTTTGTTTTCTTTGCAAAATTCTATGACACCGTAAACTATTTTGTGGTACTTGAGCAACATGCCACACTTTTATAAATACTTTATATATTGCTTTCATAAATACTGAAAAATGTGGACCATAGAGCATTTTTGAGAAAATTGGAGAATATTCAGCATTTTTGACATGTTCCACAATAAAATTTTGATCATTTAAAAATAAAAGTCCCTTTTTTTAAATTTATAACAATTGCAACATATAGATCAGTGGTTCTCAACCTGTGGTCCACGGACCCCTGGGGGGTCCGCCTTAAATTGGTCGTGGTAGATAAAAGGTTAAGAACCGCTGACATAGAACATCAATTTGCAGGACCTTTACGAATTTATGCTCATTTATACTCATTTGTGCTTGATGAAAATTCCACAAAAATAAATTCATGAACTTTTCACAACACCACATACATACATATTAGAAATTATAGTTTTTCTTTAAAAAAACAAAACATGAAAAATTTAATTAAGGCAAAATGTTAAATAACTGCACAATTGTAATGTGATACATTATATGCCAAATAGAGCGATCAAAGGTTTACCAACATGTGCCATGTGTCATAAATATCTGCACGCAATATAGAGACATGATGCATTTTTCATAGTTCACACTAAAATATAAAATACAATTACAAAAAAAAACAATAAAAAGTGGAATATTCAAAATTGTGATTGTTTTCCTATGATCGGTTGGGAGGTCGACAAAAAAAAAAAAATGTCTTGGTTGTTTATTTTCACACTAAAATTATGATTTTGATCTATCACACTACCAAGAAAAAAAAGCTCGCTTAAAAAAATGTAAAAATAAAAATTACTTTCTAAACTGATAGAACTATGAAGATTTTATATCGGTCAAGATCTAACACTTTTTAAGATGCTGTGACATACCTTTCAATTATTACGAAGTATGTTAAAAAAAAGTCAGTTAATCAAAAATCGTTATCAGAGAATGTGACCAATCGCTATTGGTAATTTATTGGTAATTCTTAAATTTCAAAAATTATGTTTGCTTGAATTTGTCTTTTATTAAGCGTATTCCATATTCCTAAACTGTTTTTATACTTTAAAATATAAAATAACTGCTTTTTCCTTCTGGTTGCTTATCCACATACTTTGTTTTACAAAATTTACATTATGCATAACTTTTTTACTTATTTAAAAAATTGTAAAGCAATTTCACAATAAATTTTACCTTTAACCACATTTACGAAAAAAAAAATTACTGACAACTATAAATATTGATTTGAAAAGAATTACTATTAGACCTGTCACTTACGATCATTGACATTGGTCATTTCCGGTAAGTGACCGCCATCACTAAATAAATCATCAACAAATAGATACTAACCATGTGGTATGAGCACAATTTGTTCCTCCTGAATGCAAACTGGCCTTCGTCGTCTGCCTCCTCGGGTTCTGGTGAAAGATGTGGCATAGCAGTATCCTCGTCCGATGACATATTTCCCAGCGATTCGAGACCGCCGGTACCCATGCCGCCAGACCGGCCCTGAGATAACGACTTGTGTTTGCGTTTCTTGTACTGTCGTTTTTCTCTTCGCGGGATAACCTATATAAACAAGAGAATACAAGCTTAGCTCTAAAATTTTGACCGGTACGCAACATGTCTCAATTTATAGGTATAATACAAGCAACAATTAAATGAAGTTCAAACATTTCTTATTAATTAGACGAATTTGAAATCTACTGGGACTTTTTTATTTTGCTATTAATTGTGAAAATATGCAAAAAAAAAACAAATTGTTTTTTGCAAACATGCTGTTTTTTAACATTTATGTAAAAAAAATTGTTGAGGCATAACATTTTGTCATTTTATAACATTTTGCATAAAAAACGGCAAAATATTTTTTTTTAAATTGCTACAAGAAAGTTGTATGTAGAAGTTTCAGAATTTGCAATACTGAAAAAGTATTAGTAATATGTGCTTCCTTAAGTTCTAGTTAATAACAAATATTTTGTTATGTTAATAGCTATCTAAAAATCAGGACACCATGTACAAACATTTTGTACAATAAAATTAAACGTTGCCGATTAAAAACTTAGAATTACTAAATTAAAAATTTTACAGCAGAAGAAAATATATTTAACAACATAGCAACTTATGTTAATTTAACAGAACGTAATATTTCAAAAATTGAAAAAGAAAACTGCAATCAGCTTACCTCGTCTTTAAGAATGGCTTTATTAGACCAACTCTGATTTGGATAATGGTTGTGAAAGAGAGGAGTAAAAGCGGGCCGAGATGACTTAACGGCAGAGACCTCAGCCATAATAGCTCCCGAAAAGTCCTTCGCCTGATATCGCTTCTCAAACACTTCGACGGTAAGGTGAACGTATTCCCTTTTGATTTTCTCACGCCTCTTCACCAACTCCAGCAGTGTTACAGCCCTGTACAGATCCCGCCTAAGTTTCAACATTTTCTCGTAAGAAGCTTCATCGTTTTTCCTATGTTTCCTAGTCTGCATCTTTTCTGTTCGTCGTCGGAATGCCAAATACGGGTTATTGGCTGCGGTACCAGCTCGGTGTTCTGTTTTCACCGTCAGAATCAATGGATGTTGCTTGAAAATTAATATCACTATTAATACATTATATCAAATACAGGGTGATTCATTAACAATGGGAAAGTCGGAAGCTGAGGATATTACATGTGAAATGGTGACCATTGGCGCAAACATGCCTTATCCGAAAGTTAATAGTTTCGAAAATACAGGGTGTTGAAAGTTAAAATTTTAAATCGTTTTTTGCGATTATTCTGAAAATATATAGGTTAGGAACTTGAAAATTTGTGAAACTATATTTTTTTAGGCGACGAATAAGATGCGTATTGTAATTTTGGCATTGCTCATAGAGGGCGTCACTTACGGCCAATTTTACCAAAAATTTAGTTAATAACTTTTTATCCTGTATATTTAACATGAAACTTGATTCAAAACCTGAAAGAGTAATCATTTTTCCATTAATTATGTACCCTAGTTTCATTTCGGTATCTCGATGCGTTTTCGAGAAAAATCGATTTAACGAACACTATGTTTTGATAATCCGAGAAATTAAAAGCGAAACAAACCAAGTGTTTCTTCGTATTATTACAACAATTGACAATAAAACAAATAAAATGCGTAATTATGATTTAAAATAATTGTTCGAAGAATCCACCGTTGACAATGATACACTTTACACGTTTTCTGAGAGATCTTCGAGTTTGAAACAACATATTGAGATTGCGTCTGACTTTGTTGGCAGCGATTTGTATTCTTTGCCACAACTCTTCACGCGAACCAATAGATTCTTTGTAAACTATATCTTTCATTCGAGACCAAATAGAAAAATCAAGAGGATTGTAGTCCGGACTTCTGGATGGCCAAGCAAAAATGCTTAGATGGCCAATCCGGCGATTTGGAAAAACTGCATCTAAATATGAACGCAACGGCCAAGAAAAATGCGGTGAAAAGAATACATAATTAATGGAAAAATGATTTGTTCTTTCAGGTTTTGAATCAAGTTTCATGTTAGACATACAGGGTAAAAAGTTATTAACTAAATTTTCGGTAAAATTGGTCGTAAGTGGCGCCCTCTATGAGCAATGCTGAAATTACAACACGCATCTTATTCGTGGCCTAAAAAAATATAGTTTCACAAATTTTCAAGTTCCTAACCTACATATTTTCAGAATAATCGCAACCATTTAAAATTTTAACTTTCAACACCCTGTATTTCCGAAACTATCAACTTTCGGATAAGGCATGTTTGCGCCAATGATCACCATTTCACGTGTAGTATATTCAGCTTTTGATTTTCCCATTGTTAATGAATCACCCTGTATACACCTTAATAATAGTTAAATATTACAAATCAACAATGTCATTTTTTTGTGAACACATCAGAACTAGAAAATTAACAACCTATAAGACAATATAAGAAAACATGTTATTAAAGATAATAAAAATCAATGTGTAAAAAGGGCAAGTTAGTTAATTCAGAAACTATCAAATTAAATGCAAGAAAAACACCACTACATATATTTAGGGAAAAGAAAAAAGAAAAATAATATTTAGATTCAAAACTGATGCCCAATTTGCATTTACTTAAATTCTTATAACTGAATAATATAATAAAATTGACTAATATGCTATAGCTGAAATTTTATTCAATTTATTACCACAATATAAAAATTAAACGTTATCAGGTCAACACAGTATTTTATGTAAAAAAAAATATTTATGCTTACAGTTTTTAACCGTTTATTCAACCAATAATCGAATACTGCTATAATGAGATCATCGTCCTCTTTAAGCAACGCTTTGGCTTCGTTTAGAGTTACGACGGTCTGTCCACTACTTTTTTCCAAACGATCCATCATCTCCTCAAATTTGAGCGGACTCAGGTCCAATTTTTGTGTTTGTGACTGTAACCATCGTTCATCCTCAGAGTCCATATCGTAGTCCGGAATGTCCTGCTCCATCGTAAATGCTGAAATATAATTTTAATTTTGATCATACGAACTAAATTGATGGTACTTTTAGCCATTAATGTCAAACATCAACCCATTAATATGAATATAAGTACATATTTAAAAAAATCTGACCCAACTTCCACCTCTAAGTAACCATCAACTTGATATATATATTAACGATAGGCTAATCTGAATTAAAAATGACCTGACAATACGATTATGCAAAAAATCTGAAAATTATTATTTTCGGTAACTCGGTTATAGTGAACAGCTGGAATGATGGATACTTGGTTGTATATTATGGACTTGGATACGTTATAAATGGTTGAATTTTTTTATAGAATTAAGACAATTATTAAATGTTGATACTTTTTGTTAGTCAACTTGATGACTAAAGAAAATTATATATATTTACCTAATTTTTTAAATAATTGCAGGATTTTTTTCCGTATTTCTATTTCAAAATGCAATATAATTTGAATTATCAACCTATTATTGGAATTCATTCATAATCTGTTAATCTGATTATTAAAATAATGTGATTATGTCCACCTCTAATGTATAATGGCAACCATTCATAAATGAGAACATATAGTGGTGAATGATTTAAAAGTTGCATAACTTAACTCTTCTGGTGTTGACAATCAAATTTAAAACTGAAAGATTACGGCAAATATCAATGGTCACTAGCACGAGTACACTTAGTTGTTCTGGATTGATGAATGGTTGTCAGAAGTATAGTATAGTTTATAAAAATACATACGTTACTTAATTTTTGTAAATTAGAAACAGCTCACAAGAATATGAACATCAAATACTTAATTTCATCTCGCAATTTTCTTAATTTGTTAAATAAATTGAGGTTTTTATTATAAATTGGTACCTGTACTTATATCCATTTCAAAAACATAATGTTTTCTAATATTCCAAAAGTATACATAAAAATTTATTCATCACAAACGACTACTTATGGACTATAATTTTATTTATTGGTCAAATATGTAGTTATAAGTCATTAATAAATATGAGACAAATTTTGCTGATTGGTAAGACTCCTGAAGTTATTGAAATATATGTTACATTCCACAACGGTTAAAAAAAATAAATTGTACAATAGTCAATAGCATCATTAACTTTTAAGACTACACGAATCCTTAAAATGGGGCAAAAAAGCATCCAGTATTGAGCAAGTACGAATACTGAAAGTATTTTAAAAGATGAGCTCATAGAAATTACTCCCAGTGTGATTTCGAAAAATAATTTGGTGTTCACCAATACAAGAAAAGTTTTTCATCAAGATTTTGAAAATTTCATGATTTAAGTTATTATTACTTTCCAAATTACATCTAGCAGCAGGTCATATTTTTATAAAGACGCATAGGGCACATACTGTTTTTAGGCATTTCTAAGACCACAAAAAGAACTTTTGTCATGAAAAAATTTCAAATGATTTGCAAAATAGGAAGTTAATATAAGGGGCAACATTCAAAATGGGTTGCATGTATAAGTCAAAAATATATTTTCTTCATAATCAATTAAGTTACAATTAGGACTTTTTTATTTCACAAAATTAAATTTTCCTCATAGTTATACTTGTTTAAATTTGAATGTACCATTTTTCAAAATTCATAAATGCTGCAATTTTAAGAAAAATTAAAATTTTGAAAAATTATAAAAAAAACTAATTCACACAAATATGTGCAGCCCTATTTGAAATCCCAAGGTGGGCAGCCTCTAATTTAATTTCTTTTTTCACAAAATTATGGGCCTATAAATCATATCCTAAAAAATGGTAACCAGTTCAATATTCACCAGCTGCTGAGTACATCCTTAATATCCCTAACTAAACCAAACCAGAAAAGGAGGGAACCCATATATCTCTATTTTTCAAATATATCGTATATAGAAGATTAGATGAAATATGTTCATGTAACATAAGCCAAGTATAATTCATTAATAATAAACAACAAAAAATAATGAAAACAAAAAACTCAAAACTGTTGAAATTTATTTAATCACATTGACTCAAATAGTATTCAATTTCCATCATAGTTATTTTGTCACATTTTTGGTCTAATTTCCTTGAAAATTGCAAGTTTGTCAATTATACAATATCAGCAATTATCTATAAAAATATTTTGTTCACATTGCAATCATGCCAAATATATTGCTATTGCTATACCAAGTACCTAACAGTTTTATTTCTAAATAAGTCCCAATGTATAAAACAAATGAGAATAACAGTAATTGTTTCTAAATTCTATTGTCCACTACTTTCTTTATTTTAAATTAGCCCACACATCGCATAAGTATCTTAAATCAATTTTTAATTGAAAATTTGAGCTGTATGAGACGATCTTATTTTACCACAATTAAAATAATAACTAAAATTGAATACATTTTAGTATAATGCAAAATATAGGTACCCTTGAATTAATATAGACCCAGCAAATGAGATTTCTAAGAAATTTCAGTAACATCTAGGCTGCCGTAGAAATTTCATGTTTGGTTTTGTTTTTTTCTTTCACAAGTGAAGTAGTTTGTGATGAAGAAATTCGGCATTTAATATAATTCTTACGTTGCATGTGAATAAGTTGACGCGGTTGCTTGTAATTTGCAGGGTAAACCTTGTCGTAGAATTCTCTACTTGGCATGTCCGATACTTCTGGGGTTGGAATGATGAGCCCGGCACATATTGCTCTTTGCAGGTGATGCTCCTGTTAATCCATTCATATTTAAGCAATTTATGCAAAGGTAGGAGTGAAATTAAAATATTTATTGCTACTAGTAATAGAAAAAATTTATTATTTGTATTGGTTCTAAAAATAATGCAATGACAGCTAAAGAACAGAGTAGAAACAGCTCTAAATATAAAAATTAGGCATAAATTCTGTTAGTTTTTTAGGGAGTATGTTGCACAAAAGTGGTAAATCAAATAAAAAATTATATTTTGCCGGTTGCGCATAGGAGCGCGAATTATATCAACATGGCTGCCTACTACGCTAACAACTGCCTGGTGTCATTTCCAAGAAAACTTACACATTCTTCCTCTTTTTGCATTCCCGATGGCATTTGAGGAACTGCCCGGTTAATCGCCGAATAATCAGGAAGATCCGGAAGTTCCTCAGCCATGTAAATAGGCATGGGCTTGCTAGCGTCCAGGGCTCTCGCCCTAAATGAAAGCTTGGACATATTTGTTGACAGCACAAAACACACGACAAGGCCAACATAAAATCTCCTAAAAACGAGCTTGCCGCCACTCGGACCGTCCGAGACGGGCACTAAACAATTCTCCGTTTTCTTTAGTACGTTCCCATTGTTTTTATTTACACGCACTCAGTCACAAATACGATAAAACAACTTTGAAACTTTCCATGTTGAGCGTGTTGTGCAGAAAGCCATCATGGCGGCTCTGCCATGGAGCCATGAAATTTACTAGGAACATGCAGTGCGCGGGAACCGTATACGCACGGTTGGGGAGGATGGTTCATTCATGCCGAACTCCACTTTTACAACAAATTATTTTGAACATCTAAAAATTTTCACAAACACCAATAAAACAAACACAATTTTGACATTTAATAATGTTGAAAATGACGCACAGCATTAGCAACAAAGGAAAATTCAGATTAGATGTGCATGATAGTGCGTTACTTGACTAACACGTATATTGTTTCTATAAATACGATAAAAGCCGATTTTCCAAGGAAAGGATGAAAAATAAAATATAGATACTTGGATAAATATATAAATATAATTTCTCTGTTAAAAACACGACAAATGAAAATAATCATATGAATAGTTTCACATCAACTGACTTCAGGCAGATGTAGATTACATCGACTTATAGAGATAGAGTACATTATATGAATTTTTTATCTTCGTATCACAGTCGTATCAACTCGTTCGTTACTCGTTATTTGTCCGTAACCCTAGAACAACCCAAAATATAGAAGGAATGTTTGACATTACTTTGAGTTACCAACGTTTTGCCATCTGTTATTGACATAGAGAAATATCTCGGGCGATAAATTTAAACTGCTCAGAAAGAAATGCTATTGTCTTTTACAAACTTCGAATTTATTGGTATACCTGCTGGTAAACAAATACAACCGTAAAGACAATAAGTAAGAATTAAATAATATATCACTTTATTCCTCGAATCATTACAATAAATCTATCTCACAACTCTCACAAGTACTGTTTGCCAAACTTGGCCAAAACGAGTTTACTTTATTAAGAGGTATTTTATGAATGACTTACGTAGTCTATTTTATATTAGAAGTCTATGTTTATAATGTTACATATTGCCTGACATCTACTACTCTGTTATACAGTATGTATGTTTTGTGTCTACTACTTACTAATCGTTGATTGAAATATTCTTATTTCAGTCAACGCGCCGCGCCATTATTCTATGGCTAGAAATTGGCCTCAATGATTTGGGATCGAGGGGGATTATCCCTCTTTATCCTGCCTCATCTCGTGTAGGCCTGGACAGCCTTCGTAGGTGGGCCCCATCCGTCGTCTACCCCGACCGCAAATGCGGCCGGTGTAGGCGCTTTGTGGGACCTCCTTTTGTCCTGGCTGGGCCCCGCCGGCTAGGGCCCTTTCTTCTGGCGCTCTTCTTGCTTCGCCGGCTCGTCTGTGTAAACCCCGGGGGTAGTGTCATGTTTATGTGTGGTATGGTTGGGTAGGGTAGTGCGGCTATGCAGCCTGGGATGCGCTTTGCTAAGGTGGCCCTTAGGCTAGCGCGGGAGGGGAGGGGTAAGGAGGGTATGGGGAGTGTGTATGTGTGTATGTGTCGTTGTCTTCGTTTCTTGATCCTGGCGGTCTCTGAAACATAAAAGGTTAGCGGGCAGGGGGGGGGCAAGGAGCCGAACTCCATGTAAACAAATATTTTACCAAATTAGAGGGCGTTAGTGTCCCATATGCACCGAAATACTGAAGGGGAGATAAAGAAAGCGGAGTAAAACATAAACATACAAAACAGTCCACAACTTGTGAAGTTAGAAACCCACTACGCAGGGCGTGGCGCAACTTTTGCTTCGTACTAAGTATACTGCGCATGACAAAATTGTGACGTCATGATCTCGGCGGACATTTAAGAAATTTAAATTTCAATCTCATTTTAAAGTTACTTGCACATTTTTTTTTTTTTTTTTTTTTCATGTACTTGATTATGTATGATAGAATGTAAATACATGTTCAGTGAAAAATGGGAAAGGACCCCTAGACGGCATTGCTACAGGGAAACTGGGAAACTAGTAGTAAATGATTGCTCCGAAAGTTCGAAATTTGTTAACTACTAATCTTACCGATAGACCGCACATTAACGGCTGATGCTAAATACGGTGTGTAATAATAATTTCACTAACAAGTTGCCAACTCTTCTTAACAAAAATATTAAGTGCGATTTACTGAAATTCTATTGAAGCTAATTACAGAACGGTCCTTTGAAACAACGGTTGTGACCTTAGAGCATATACTACTGGAGATAGCGCTCGGTGGCCGAGAATGTAGCGGAGGTTTAGAGAGAGAGAAAAATAGGATGGAATTTGCTATCTCTCTCTAGCAGCACGCGATTGCATGTTGCTAGAGAGAGGTAGCATATTCACTCCTATACCTCTCTCCCTCTCGCTAAACCTCCGCTACACTCTCGGCCACTGGCATGCTAGGCCTAGGCTGAAACAATATAGTGTGAAGATCATCCCATTTGGGACTGATTCTGTTTTTAGTTCAAATAGCATAGTCAAATAATTTGGTTGGCGTATTTCAATTATAAATTAATCACCTGTCCCTACTGTTTTATTTTCAAGTTATCTTTGTACTGTACCTTAGATTTTGAGAGAGTAGAGAATTGCGACCTTGAGCAAATTTAATGATTTAATTCTGTGGTACGCGAGCGAGGCGGAATTTTTAAAATTCTGTAGAGAAATAAAATTGAGAACTACTTCACTGTTTCGGTTACATTTAATATATATGTTTGTATTTAGTTATTTATGCGATAAAGGCGTTTTAACCATCAAATTATTTATCCCTTGTTTTTATATTTTGAATTAGAAAAAGACAAGAAACTTTTACCTTTTTGACTTCAATATAGCAATTACAAGTTGAGTACCAGCGATAATTTTAATGCTATTTACTAAAATTATTACCTATAAGTTGTGCTAATTTCTTTCATAAAACCAAATTAATTGACTTAAAATATTAATAGATAAGATAATTACAACTCATTTTTAACCATTGTTCGAAAATGTTAGTTAATCACAAGAAACATATGTAGGAACAGGAACATCCTGTAATTTGCATTGATCTTATTGAGAATAAGAGGAAAGAAGTTTTATGTCTGTACAACTTTTTTTCTTTGAAATTGAGCTACTTCCCAAGCGCATTCGACTGCTCCGAAACAACTACCTGCGACACATAAATACCTGCAGGAAGGGCAGAGCATAATGACTTACCTTCTGATTTTTTTTTCTCTAATACAACTAACACGTCATTAAAAAAATTTGTGTTCAATTAAAAGTATTTTCAAACAAAAGTATGTTAGTATATATATAAAGTATAAATATCTCAAAACTTGAGGCTTTTTTATAGAAACACGATTTTTTAAAATAGCACGCAGCATAATTCCAACAGTTTTTATTCTATTCGCTCTAAATTTTGACCATAACTTTAAAATAACATAAGGGATTTTCGATAAGTTGATTTTAACAATATTTATTGATAAATGATGCTGTATTTTTGTCAAAAATCATACTTTTTTTTTACTTGAAATGCTCGCCAAAAATTAATTTTAAAAAATCCCTTATGTATTTCTCTAACCATGCTCATGTAGATTAAGAGAAAACTTTTTGTTTCTTTCCATATTCAAATTTCTGTCATTTATACTGCTTGCGCAGAGCGCCTTGGGTTCAACATGCCTCACGAGAATGGCTCCAGCATCTCCATTTTTACTATTTATGAATAAATACATTTTTTATAACACTTAAAGACATATTAAATAACACCCTTGAATATTATTATCCTCTACCTTTCCTTCCATTAAAAAAATTGCGACAATATGGTTTATACATTTTGCAGTGTATTCCTTTGGTCTTCAAACTTTTATGACTTGTTGAACCCGGCAATTTTTTTTTTTTGAGGAACCTAAAATTTTCGAACATATTTTTTTTCAGATTATAGATGTATTTATAAATACTAGTTTTAAGAGTATGAATTTTTTTAATTTTGTAGTATCGCATTAATTTCCAAATTTTGAATTTTTGCCCGAGTCACGAAATCCCCAGAGGTTATGGGGAACTCTAGGGTTCCACGTAACACAGTTTGAATACCGCTGCCTTAAATGAATATGACTGAAAACAGATGTAGAACTCATATAATAAAACAATATAATACATTAAATATTTATTATTTATATTTTAGTACACCATCAGAGAAATAGGTACACCATATACAACACATTGCTACTACAAATATGATATAAACAATATAACAATGCTAAGTCATCGAGTGAGGTTAAGAAACGTAGGTGCAAAACAGCCAGCTGAAATGGGATATGGTTTGGCACAACACTGTTTGAAAGCAGATGTAACGAAATATCATATTTCTGGACTAACTCAACCAGAAATAATATATAGTATAGTAGAAATATGTGGACTTAAATGTGAATGACTAGTAGAGCAAAACCTTGTATGTATTGTTTATAGAAAATAAATTTATTGGGTTATCTAACATGACAAAAAAAAAAAGTAAATCAAATTTAGAAAGAGAAATTTATCAAAATAAGGAGTTATAGAAATAACACATTTAACACTAATACGATAATTATTTAATAAATTATTGGAAAATGTACGACTAATTTAGGAAACATACAAATTGATCACGTTTTATTGAAAACTGACTAGTGTGTATAATGTGTAAAATCTGCATCTGTAGTACCAAGTTTTTACATCCCTTCAAGATAAAACATGTAACTGAATTGAAAAAAATATTTTCAAAGCGAATAACAACAAAATTTAATCTTATCCCATGACGCAAGGCTGAAGAACAGATAAAACTAACCCTGTATATATATTACAGTTCTACTCACGTTCTACTATACTATATAAGTGAGTTTAATGTAAGCTTTAATTAAACTAAAGCCTATTTAAAAACTATATGCTCGGGTGATGGTTTAAACCGTATCTCTGATAATCTTCCGGATTTTTAACAGCTTAGTGCTAACACAGACCTGTGATATAGAGATCTAAACATTTACTAATTATAGCGGGTTAATTTCCTTTTACTTACTACTCTAAGCTGACATTAATAAATATCTAAAACATTACATAATTATTTTCAACAATATATACATTTCTCTGAAATGTATCTGAATGTTTTTTTTACTAAATAGCTCTCAATATGGCAGATCTTTAAAAGTTAAAACACAAAAAACATGCGCACCTCATAAATACCTTTACATCCAAAAAATATTCATACTTTTTAATGTGCCGCACACGTAACAGTAACATTCGCTCAATATGAACAATGCATTTAAAGAAGTAAAAAAAAAACAAAAATCTAAGGACTTCTTCAAAAACACCTATAAATTATTACATAAACTATATATTATAAATAAACGTACAATACACACATTAAAAATGAATAAATAAAATCTTTGGTAACTGTAAACAACCTACATAAGCTTTATTTTTAATGAAGTAATGCACACTTCCCTAATAAATTTAATTTATCTCGTCATTAATTGTAATTTCCCACAATATCACAATAGTGTAACTAGAAAGCAACATATTGTAGGCTTATACAGAGACATGTTCTACTAATAAACAGGATGGAAACTCTTACATGTTTCTAAAGTTAAATTTTTTCATATTTGTTACAATGTCCGTTCATCAGATTTCTTACACCATTAGACAGTTATAAATAAGTACATCAAGCCGTTATCCCCAGATTCCTCAGACAAAAATAATGGGAACTCTCTTACACCGTTTTTCATTTATGTTATGTTATCTTGATATTGAGTTTAAAAATTATAATTAAAAAGTTAATTAATTGATTATTCGTAATTTAAAAAAGTCAAAACCATCGTGTTCTAAGATATTTAGTTGAACATTTGCATGGACTGGAATACTGGAAAATCAAAGCACAAATCGAAAAAAAGGAAATTGAAGTACTAACAGTCAAGCGACTTTTTTTACGCAAGCTTATGGTTCAAATGTACGTGGCTGCTGGAAAAGTTTCTGCAATCCACCAAGTCCAGTGGCACCAACATTCTGTCAGTGTGATATTTGAAAAATTTAACGTTTCTGACCTAAAAATCAGTTGACAGTTTGTACCCAGTGAAGTAGTTTTCTGTGCACAGTGTTTTAAAAGAAACTATTCAGTGTAGAAATGGAACTTTCACATGAAAATTTTCGGGCAATGATTTACTAAGATTACAGATGTAATCTTACTCCGAAACAATGCATCAATCGACTGTATTTGGCTTTTGGGGATGAAGCACCATCAAATAGGACAGTGTATAATTGGTTTGGCGAATTCCATTGTGGACGCACCTATCTTAGTGACGAATTTCGTGAAGGTCGTCCATCCACGTCTGTTGTTGCCACTAATGTTGATGCGGTGTGTGGAATGACTGAGCGGAATCGGCATGTGACATACCGCGAAATTCAGGCATCCTTGGGCATTGACATGAAAGCAATACACGTGAATTTGCATGATCACTTGAACATACGAAAACTGTGCAGTCGTTGGATCCCACACAATTTGACCAACGCTCAAAAAGAGACTCGTGTTGCACAGAATGCTCAAGAAATTCAACCGAGGCCGGTCAAATCTGATCTACAATATCGTTACTGTCGATGAAACTTGGATTTATTCGTACGAGCCCCAAAGCAAACAACAATCCACCGTTTGGGTGTTTCAAAATGAGATGAAACCAATAAAAGTCGTTCGTTCACGCAGTGTTGCCAAGAAAATGATTGCCTGCTTCTTTGGTTATACCTGACATGTCGCATCCGTGGTTTTAGAGGACCGAAGGACTGTAACTGCGGATTGGTATAAAACAATTTGTTTGCCAGAAGTCATCAATGAAGTTCCTAGAACAAACCGAAATCGGAGCATTATTCTTCATCATGACAACGCCAGCTCCCACTCAGCACATCGAATCGTTGAGTTTTTGTCTAATCAAAACGTCGAAGTCATGACGAATTGTCCTTATTCACCAGATTTGGCACCAAATGACTTCTTCTCATTCCCGTATATCAAACGGACGATGGGTGGTGAGCGATTTATGTCGCCTTAATCAGCTGTTGACGCCTTCCGAACACTAGTTTCAGAACTTACAGTCGCAGAGTGGAAAGCTTGCTTCACCAATTGGTTCGAGCGTATGCAACAGTGTATTAATCTCAAAGGCGAATACTTTGAAAAACAATAAAGTTATTTTTAAAAATCTACATGTGTTTTTACTTATCGTTTGCAGAAACTTTTCCAGCAGCCTATGTATTGTTTTAGAACATGTTTTCTTTGTATTTTTTCACCATTGGTTTATGAGTCAGTCAAATTAGTCCTGTGATTTAAGATTTTTGGAATACTTTTTCGTTTATCTGTCTTTAGCACAAAGTATGAGGTTTCGGTTTGATAATTGTGACGATAAATGTTATAAATCTTCTTATCTGACCCACTTTCATTAGCAGCACCTAAGTGTTCATTCGTGGAGATGGTAGATATTTTAATTTTTTATTTTTAATTATTAGAATATAGCTAATTAAAAATCTCGATTTTAAATTAGATTAAGTAAATTAAGAGTCCGTTTAATCAAAATCAATAAATAAAAATAAATAAATTTTTTTTATGAATATTGAACTTGAGGTATATAATCTACACAAAAATATTACCAATCATGTATCGAACGAAGTTGCAGGATCTAGAAAACCAGGCTAAATAAAAATTTCTCAACAAAAAATTATAGAAATTGAATTATAACCTGTAAGTACTGGAAAATGTCACTTTTTAAAATAAAAAAAAATTATTGTATCAGATTATAAAAAAAAATGTTGCAAATACATGTACACTCTTATATTAATTTTTTATTCCATAAATTTCGTTCAAATTGTTTTCATCACAGAAATATAAGCCCAGAAATCATCCCTTAAAAATGGTATGGATCCTATACTTCATTATCAAAATTTTTATCACAAGACGTCAAAGACAACTACCCTATTTCCTCTGTTCATGCCTCAATTTTCTTATTCAAAATTATACAAAACAAGTGCTGTTACCAGATACAAATCTACGCAAAATGTTGATTTAATATCTTAAAGGACAATGAATTAATAAAAATTATTTTTTAAATTTGAACTTTATCACCCCTTGGATCTGGAGGCGCCTAAATAAAAAATGTTACGAGTCATATTTTCGTCCAAAGAATTTGTGGTTAACAGTGTGACATACTCTTTTGTAACGCTCTGTATATTTTTTGATAAACAGCTTATTGAAAGAATTGCTTTAAATGATAAAAATATTTTAAAAGAAAATAACTAAATATTTTGTACAATGTAGATATATCTCTGAATAAGTAACGTTTTACTTAATGTTCAATAGAAAAGACATACACATGAAAAAGAGAATTTTGGAAAAAAATTTAAATAAATTTGTATGGAAAACATATGCAAAAGGACAATTCGAAATCCTTCAATTACCGCGTCCTTGCTAAAACATTTCAAACGATCTGATCGTAGGACTCGTGTGTACATCTTAAAAATATAAAATTAATTAATTATAAGTGACCTGCAACCACTTCTTCAATATATACATAGGCCTTCATGACTAGAGTAACGGGTGATTTCATTAAACTACTTTTTATCTATATTTGGAGAAATCACAGTAACCTAAAATATGCCAAGTTCCACATGTGCCTTTATCTATAATCTTAAATACCTAAAGCGTTTAGGTTTAATCTACGTTAACATTCATTTAAAATGTGCAAATGGCAATCACGGAACCGGCTACGTTCTGTTAAAGAATTAAAATATACAACATATCCGAAATTACTGCTGGGCTGGCTAAAACTACCTAGAACTTTGCCAAATGGTCTGCCTAAAATATTATTTAAACTATTATGTTTTGAGGAAATAATTAAGATAGTTATGAATCATACGTTATGATTTTGGCAGATAAGTTAACGTGGAAATGAACAATAAATGCTACGTTTTTATTTGGAAATTGGCAAGATTGAAAATAATAAAGTATAAAATAAGATGCTACAAACTGTAACGTCTTCATAATTTCAAATATTCTATAAATTCCATCAAAACTGGTACCAAACAATATATTACAAATTGAAGCAAATGAACGGTAACATCTTTAGTAACGATGGAAAATTCTTAAATACTCAAGTATACCGTGTAATTCAAAAAAATCCAGCCCTCAACAAAACGTACAAAGTTCAAATAATGATTAAAATTTTTAATTTACTCGTACCGTTTCAATTTTTTAAGTATACAAACAACAATAATTGTGGTAATGAATCCCGTTATTTGAGCTACTTATTGATAAATAAGTAACTGAGAAATGCTTCTGTAAAATAAATCATCTCTCGCAGAATTACACCTAATATAAATAAACTCTGTATATAATATATAACATTATTCTTGAGTAATGACGTTTCTTTTTTTTTACAAAAATTAAAGCTTCAAGCTTGTGCTTACCCGAGTCAATTTGAACTTAGAAATAAGATAAACTGCAAACTGATTCTGTTAATTTTTAAAACTTCGAAGTTCTTCATGAGGATATTCCAGGGGCAATTGTTTTATTCGGCTATGAATCTTGATGGATTGTAGTCTCTATTGATAATTGTGAAACCTCGGAACTCGTCTTGGTTGATTGATTGCAGCACTTCATTACTTACAGGTGTTAATACTGGCTCCTCTCTGGTAAATTCAGCATCGAAATTAGCTACATCCTTTCTGCTTTTCTGTAATATCAGTTATTAATTTAGTTTCATCGGTATTCCAGTTTGATCATTACCACCTAAATAAAATTTTGACAGCTATTACAAGATTAAAGACATAATCGGACACTTCACGACTAATAACAATAACACTCAATTACTACAATTTTTCAACTCTAGATTAACACCGAAAACATAAGAGACTTATATGTGCGCAAGGATGACAGTTAAGAAACAACTAATTTTAATTCAAGACACTATTAATCGCTGTTTTACTATCACCTTTACAGTTTACACTCTCTGTATCAAACCGTATACAGGGTGATTCACAACTTAGTCCAAAAAAATTTGGGAATGGATGTGGCATGAGAAATGGAGTCAATTTCGTAAAAATTTTTTTTGTAAAATCCTGTTTCCGAAAAAAAAATTATTGAAGTTGTACTACTTTCAGACATTACATCGCTGGACAACTGTAGTCTCTAGCGTCATTCGCAATACGCGTGAGAGTCATGTGGCCTCAGCGACTCCCAATACAATCGTCATTGCGGTAGTGTTTACAATAGCTTTTTAGTACCTAGTGTCAAAAATGGTTTGTGTGTATAACAACTCGGAGTTGATGGATATCATTTTAATTCATGGTGAAGCAAAACAACATTAGTGTTATGGTGAAACATTTGTGTTATGGTGAAGAAGCAGGACAACATTTGTGTTAGTTCGTAGAAACTTAGTAAGACAGGACCAAAAGTGTTTACACATCGGTGGACAAAATTTTGAACAGTTGTTGTAACATCAGGTATGTCAAATTATTTTATTAATTAAAACCACAAATTAACTTTATTAATTAATAATAACAATAGCAGCAATAAAATAGCTGTTATAAAATTCTATTTATTCCTTTCCTTACGAAATTCTTTCAAATTTTTGTCCTTTTTTATCACACTCTGCCGCCATGCCGGTCGCAGTGGACCAGTCTCCAGCGCCGTGCAGAAGTGTATTTTTAAATCATTTTCGAACTGACCTTATTAATTATTCCTTTACAAAATTGTATTTGTAAGACTCCCCTGTACATCCAGTATTTTTTTTTTTGATAAGTTCTGAATCACCCTGTATAAATCTTTGGCTATTGTACTGACACTGTTAGTACACTTTTCTCTATGGAATGCAACCTAATGAGGTTGAAAGAAAAATGCCTAATATATTTTGGTATTAAGGGGAGAAACCACATTAGGAGGTTGAAAAAATTGGATGCTGCGTAAATTGTTAGTCTACTAACTATTCAAAGATATGCTGCCAAAATTACAAAACCAAATTCCTATTCGTTTCGAATTTATGAGCCTAAAACCGAACGCCCATTGGACCAGCGCTCAGGCATACAGCAGATAGGGCGGAGCGCTTGTTAAGGTAATCTAGTCACTTATTAAGCAAGAAAAGAACACATGCAAGCTCAGAATGACGCCTATAAGGAAGGACTGTTATATGATACTGGAATCACTGACTGATTGATAGGCACTCTATATTATTGATAACTTTCTCAAATTTGTAGTTTTAAGAAATCTTCAAATGCGTTTTTCTCCAAACAACATTTTTTTGATTCACGGGAACTCTAGGTCAAAAAGTTATGAACCGATCGTTATGAAAATTGAAAGTGTGTTTCTTTATGAAATTACAAAGAACATGAACTAACAATTGAGATGATATCATAATTGTAAGGGTGTTTTTTATTCAAAATAAATGAGAAAAAATGATGAAAATTGAAAAAAAAAATTTTTCAAACAGGTGTGAAAACTTCAATTTTCATCATTTTTACCCTCAATGAGGTTCATATTCTTAGAAAACATGTTAATAATGCAGAAAAACAACCATTTTGCTCTCAGATCAAAATTGTGACCACGTTTCCCATGAACAACCAACTCGGACGATGATAACTCCGTCATTTTCAACAAAAATGATTTGAAAAATTTTGTACATATAGTTCAAAATATTGATAAAATAATGTCAAAGTTTCATCGAATTCTAAACAATTTGTCCCATTAAAAAAAATCATGACAAACGCCTGAAAATGCTAATGTGGTTTCCCCTTTAATAACAGATATTAGGCTAAATAATAACAGGCGGAAATAATTGACGTCACCACTAAGTTAGATTTAAATATGCCAGGGGTACTCAAACAATGACATATTATTAAAAAATATTTATTTTCTGCTACTTCTACACAATTTTTACCAAGGTAAATTTTTAGCAATTGGGGCCTTTTATCAAGACCTATCTCCTGTTCCGATTTATATTCCGTTTTTAAGTTATGTCAGTGATTGATAAGAAATAAAATTTGGCACACTAGAACCGTTTTAAGATTGCCATTACGTCACGAGAGTGTCCTAATATCAAAGAGAGTCGTTACAGACATGAATTCATTATTGCACCAAAAAGAGATACAATGATGGTATAAATGTCTTCATAGTCTCAATTTATCACAGATAATCATTCCAATATTTTATGTGTATTAGAGTGATAGAAAATGGTGGACATTTGACTACTGCAGTTAAAATAAAACAGAACTGACAGTCAGATTAAAAATTTGACGGTTGTTTTGATCGCGTCTTCGTACTAACTGTTGTTTATACCGGGTGTCCAAAAAGTCTGGAAACACCTGAATAATTTCCCATTTTCCCATTTATTTTTTTAAAATGTTAAGGTCCTTCTGGTAGTAACTTTTGACAAGGAATTCAATGGTGGCCTTAGATTTGACCTTGACGATGACCTTGAAGGTGATTTCAAGGTCACCTCCATTTTTTTAAATGGAGACCCCCTTTATCGAGGTCAGCAACGAAAGAGCGGGAAATTTTACGTCCAAAAACCCTAAGATCATAAATCAGACTTGACCTTGAAGGTAATTCAAGTTATTTAAATTTGAGGGCCGGATATCTCTGAAGGACGCAGTTGATGAAAATAGTACAAAGCTCACTTTACTTATTTTGTTTAATTGCAATTAGTGGTGACCTCAAACTCGACCTTCTTGGTGTCCTTCAAGGTCATTTCAAGGTCAAAAATTTTTATTTACTGAATATCTCATGTGATGTCGGCAATCAAAAGAGCGGAAGTTTTCATACTTTTACTTTTAGCGTTATCCAGGAACAACGACGTGGACGTAGTAATTTCTGTTCCCTTTGGGGTATTTTATTATCATGAGTCCCCTTGCCTCTCACATTTGAGGTGCTTCATTATTGTGAGTCCCCTTGCCTCTCACGTTGGGGTGCCTGATTATCGTGAGTCCCCTTGCCTCTCACGTTTAGGGTGCTTCATTATCGTGAGAGGCAAGGAGACTCACAAAGTATTGAAACTTTATAATCTAAGTGGTAATGATTTGACGCAGTGTGACTATATTCAAACTGAAATTATTACTTACAATTCTAGGCCTAAAAGGTGGCTTGACTCGACGTTGCTCCAAAGCCGCCCAATCCATCTCTTTAAAAAAGGGATGCAACTGAATGGCAGCTTCCGTTCCATGGGCAGCCACACATCCTAACCGCCTACTAGGATTTTTCGTCATAAAGCCTTTTAATATGCTAACGGCATCTTTACTTAACCACACGGGATATAATACATCATCGTGCAGTATAGATTCAAATAAATCCTCCTCATTGTCTGCCTCGAAGGGAGGCTGACCTGCCATCATTTCATACATTAGCACACCTAGGGCCCACCAATCCACGCTTGCACCGTATTCCAATTCCTAAAAGAAGAATTTTTAATGACAAAATAGTAAGTCTTCAAGTCTACTATGGAATCACATTGTTTATTTAAATCAATGGGTCTTAACCTGTAGTCCGTGGACTTCTGGGGGGTTCGTTAACTAATTAAGAAAATGCACTCTCGTATGCCAGAGTGTAACTTATTGTTTATCTTTCCAAAATTTACGTTTGGTGTGCAATTTCGAATTAATATTTCAAACCCGTTTAAATTGGGACTTATATCTAAGTAAGTACCTAACTGAGAGTCAGCAAGAATAAAAAAATATTGAAAGGAGGTCCGTGGTAAACAAAAGGTTAAGAACCACTGGTTTAAATGATACATTAAATTATTTTTTCAAGGTCAACTTGGGATAATCTATTCATGATCAAGAAACAAGTTCTCAAAATTATTTAAACATGTTTTTCGGAAGAAAATTTCACACCGAAATTGCAAAAATAAAAAAATTTAATTTGCAATTTTAAAGTCGAATCATTGGAAATGAGAAGAAAGTTTTGCCATCCCCAAGAGAACATTTGTGACCAATGGTTTTTGGCTATTTACCTGCAAAATTTCGGGTGCAATGTAATCCGGTGTGCCACAAAATGTAGACGTAGTGATACCATCCAGGATCCCCTCCTTGCACATACCAAAATCGGCGAGTTTGCAATGGCCCTCGGCATCTAACAATATGTTGTCTAATTTAAGATCCCTATAAATAACTCCGTGCCGGTGCAGGAATTGCAAAGCTAATGTAACTTCCGCCGCATAGAATCTAGCTCGTGGTTCGTCAAATTTCTTGGCACGTTGTATTTGGAACATCAAGTCGCCACCGTTCACGTATTCCATCACGAAATACAATCTGTCCCTAGTCTGAAAGCAAGAATGTAGAGCAGTTAAGAATGGGTGGTTGGCAGCTAGTGCTAAAATGCGTTTCTCTGTCATGGTGCAGTCTACGTCATCATCCTGAATGATGACATCCTTCTTCAGAACTTTGACGGCATACACTTCATCAGTGTTCTTTTTCTCGGCTAGCATGACTTTACCAAAACTTCCCTTGCCGAGAACTTTTATGAAATTGAAATCATTCAGTCCGATAGTGTTTCTGCTAATGGCCCCATCTCCACCTGAAAAATAACAGTTAGTAGGACTTACATAAAAGAAACTCGTTAAAAATGTATTTAGAGTACACAATTTTTGGGCAATGATTGTATTTATTATTTTTTAGAAGAGACGTTTTATCCAACAATACGTAGAATATCTACGGAGTCTTCATAAATGATTACAAGCCACACAACCAGTAATTTTGTTTGGAACAGTAATTTTATTTCCTTCATGTTGGCAATTTAATTTCGGTAAAATTAAAACAATAAGATGAAGATTACATTAAAACACAGCATTGTTTCAACCAATATGCGATTGCATTATCTCGAGCGTAGGCGTAACGGTTTGTCACTGTTCACTGTAAACGAATCATTAATAATAATGGTAATGCCAAGATTTAGGGATTTTTCATTACGAGTACCTGTCGTGCAATTTTGGGTTGCCTAAGTTCGAGGGTCATGTGACTTGTAAACATTTATAAACGTTCTGTATCACTAAATATACAGGTCTGGTCATATTTTTATTTCCGATACAAAATTAGTAAATTATATAAATATTTCACCAGTCTCCTCTAATAATTCTGACTCCGCCTCCATATCATTTGAATAACTTTATGCTATCGATATAAGGGAATAAAAAATGCCATAAGAAGTGCGCAAAGCTTGCGGTTCTAAGCTCTCCTTGACTATTGGTTTATTGTCTCTGTCTTGCATTAAGAATTTGGGAACTACGTACGTCTAAGAATACGTACATACGGAAGATAGAATACTGGACAATAATTACGTTTTTGATTTATTGCGATGACATAAAGAGTATAAGCCACGGCCTGGAATTGACAGCAGTGTTGCCATACGTACAGTAATTACCCTATTTGTACGATATTTTTTTACAAGAATGATAGAGGTTTTGAGACCACACTAAAGCATTCCAACTTTATAATTCTTAAGCAAAATAATGAATTATTTTCAAATGCTTATTAAATAAAGCTTATTATTAATTAATAAGGTGTTCAAACAAAGCACCTGCTTGAGCTTCACAATACTCTAACCTGTCGTAAAATTCTTGACAAACATTTGACAAAATTTCAGGAGTAACTGATACTAAAATATTTCTAATTTTAAGCTGTAATTTGTCCAAATTTGCGACTCTTCCATGTCGATGTTTATAGAGAAGTTGCGTTAAATGACCTCATAAAAAGAAGTCGGAGGGTGTCAGATCTGGAAATCGAGGAGGTCAAGGTATGATACCTCTTGTGGAAAAAAGCCTTTCAGGAAAAGTTTGTTCCAAATTATCTTGAACTGGCCTTGCGTTGTGTTCAGGATATCCGTCTTGCTGAAACCAAATTTCCTCAAAATTTACATCCAAGTTTCGTACCGCTGGTACAACACTATTTTGTAATAAATGCAAATATCTCTCAGCATTTAAGTTACCATCAATAAAAAAGGGACTCACAATATTATCGCCTAAAATGCCAGCCCAAACATTTACCTTTTGAAGATACTGCGTTCTTAATGGTATACTTAAATGCGTTTTCGCGGGACCAATATTGGACCACTGAAGAATTATGACAGCTAAGTTTGGGAAAAAGGTGATTTGTCTGTAAATAAAATTTGCCTAGCAAATTCATTATTTTCATCTATTTTTTCCCTAATGGATTCACAAAATTCCATATGCCTTATTTGATCACCAGGAATAATTCCTTGAGAAGTTTGCATTTTATAGGCTTTGTAACCATTCTTTTTTTAAGATGCGCCAAACTGTACGACTTGGAATGTCGTTCTTTGGAAATTTGGGAGGAATAACGCGGCTCACTTACTTCCACAAAAGCACAGACATTAACCTCTTTTTCTCTCCTTGCTTCAGGAATTTGACAAGGTTCCTGATTGCTACATTTCGTACACCGATTAACACATCCACACTCCTCAAACTTATGAAAAATATTCAAAACAGTTCCAGCAGTGGGGACTGGTCCGTCGGGGTATGAAAATATAAATCGACCAATTACTTCCTCTGCACTTTCGGCACGACAATACCATTTAATAATATTAATTTTTTGTTAGACACTGTACACCATTTTTTTTTGTAATATTCCGTATACTTCTTATCAAAGGTTTGAGTGGAATAATAATAAAAATAAAATTAAACAAACAGCAAAGCGCTTTAGGTATTCGGTCAGTTCACAAAAAATGCAACGGGGCACGTGCGCTCCCACAGTCAACCAATTACGAGAGTCCGAGTCGCAGCCTCAATGATATATGTCATGTCCGACCCCTTCCACCCAAAGTTGATAGGGGAGATGCGTGTAATTTACTGTCTATGCGAAAGAATTACCTGGGCAGACCGGTATATTAACACATTAACTTTTATATTTGACAAAACAATTTCAGTGACTTTTGATACGAGTTTCATTATTTTTTTAACTTTTTTATAGTATTGGTGCTTAAATTCTGTTGTTGACTGAATGTTTGATAAAAATATTGGGTGCTATCGTCAGAAGCCGACGATTTTTATGATTTTAGCTTAATCCTAGTCCACATATGTCCTATACATTTCTATCAAATATGTTTGCAACATTTACAGAGAATCAAAAGCTTCCAAGGATGGCTGAATCACAATTAAAAAAAAAGTATGGGGTTTTTCGCTAAATTCTGAAGTAATTAAGAACAGCAGCAACAATGAATGTGTTAACTAATAATAACTCAAACCACTAACCATTATTTTGCAGTTTTTCTTCTACCATTTTTGATAGATCCTCTCCTGTACTATCTGCTCCGGCATTTGAATTCTCAGAAGACCCCTCAGCCTGTCCTCCATTTCCACCAGAACCAGATAACAACTTACTTCTTCTCGGAGTCTGTTTGTCAGGTGATACACCTTAAAAAAAAAACAGTTGCACTTCCGCCTCCCTTTACGTAGTAAACTAATTCACCTATTGCAGTAAGAATTTCGGCCATCTGCTTGGTATTGATGCCACAGTTATTCGCAACATTTTTCTGGCAACGTTTATGTATATTTAGTGAACAGACCTCACACTGCAGCCCCTGCCTTATCAGTCCATATAACAGTGATCCACAATGATCACAAAATGTAAAACGTTTGTAGTTGTGTACTACAAATCGATGTGGTATGTTAACATTAAAGCCAGTATTCTGGTGTTGAGTTGACTGGAACAGTTATTACATTCGTTATACTACATATAGTTGTAAGTTCATTTAAAAATTCTTGAGAGTTGAATGGTCTAAATGAGATCTAATAAAAAACAGTGTAGCACTGTATCTAACATAAGTTTCAAATGTACTAGCACCTCCCGTTTAAAAACAAATAATTTGTGACCTCTACTGAGTTGGAAAATTGCTCACCATAATTTTTTTGTCGCTTCACTCAGCCTCCAACTTTGTCTGAGAACAGTATAACCCTTAACGTTCATGATGCTTATACTATTTTTTGCACAATCGCAATAAATGAAACCGAAGTTATACATATGTATTTATTTTTTTATGTAATGTCAAAAATGACTTTTCTGAATAAATTTGTGAAGCTGGTTTTTTTGAAATCTATTTATGTTTATTGTTGTCACGGCTTTTGTAATTGACGAAACTGACAATTCTAAATCGAAAAACATGTAATTTCTGTAAGTAATTGTACAAACTGCACATTTAATTTCAACATCAATAAATAGATTTAAAATACATCTTTCTTTTAAATCAATTAAATTTTAAACTGAATTTTAGAAAGCCCATTCCAAATCAATGCGATGTTAAAAATGTCTATTTTGACAATAGTACAACGGTAAGGAAATTACTTACCGTTTTGTTAACCTTTGCAACCAGTCAGCGCGACCTACTGTCGTAAAAACAAACATGGTAAGTGAACAAAAAAAGCTTGATCGTGCAAAATAGTATATTAAGCATTAAGAACGGTAAGGGTAATTTACCGTTCGAAGACAATTGTTTTGAGAACGGTATAACTCTTAACGTTCGTGACTGGTCAACCCTCGTTCTGCAATACTTTTCTGTTCCTCTTGTCTTAACAGCTAACTATCTTCGCTTTCCAATGCTTAATGTCTGCTGCCAACACCTCGCTACTCCCTGATTCAGTCTGGTACTAGTCTTGCTATTCTGCGCCCTGATTCTTCTTCCTTTTTCTGTTTTTCTACGACANTATTACCAGTACCTCTTTCCATAAAAATATTTGTCACAATCGGTATAAGCTCGCCCGCAAAAATTCGACTTACCAATTGCAATAACCCAGTCACTAATGAGCATGTTTGCGAATATATACGGTTTGAGCAGCCTGATCCAATTTAACTATTCATGTGAATTAATACGTCTAGAGCAGTTTGAGCCCTATAAATTTTTAGCGAATATATACGTCTGGACCAGTGAAAGGGTTAAATCAATTAAATTTTCTAGAATTCTAGAAAACTCATTCCAAATCAATGGCGATGTTAAAAATGCCTATTTTGACAACTCCAATATCTATGTAAAAGAGTTCAAGTGGTTGACATGTCCAAAATGGTTTAATAAGACGAAACGATACCATAAAAGTTTCACGTGTGGTTTAGTTCTTTTAAATTTTACTTACAATAGAACTTCAAAGACAAATGTCTTTATCCTTGATGTACATATGCATATACAGGGTGTAACTTTGAGTGGGGGTCATATTCATACAGTGACTACTTTTGAGCTTTAGAAACATGTATTAATAGTTTATTTTATCAAATTTCGTTGTAAAAACTTTATATTTTTTTAAACCTTTTTTTTTAAATAATTTTCCTACCATGCTGCTGGACAAACTAGTGTAATCCTCAAACAACAGCGCGTATTGGTGACAGCGCAGCACATGCACAATTGAAAACTGGGCTATGAATTGTTGTCAAATCTTATAATTTAAAGGAAAGAATTATTAAAAAGCAACTTTTACATCACCAGCCGAGAGGTACTGCTCTTTGGGATAATCCATCTGCATCTGATATCGTCCCCTTGCAGCAGAATCGTTTTCTCCCAACAAAAAGTAGGCCCTAATCATATCAACACTTTCTTGAGTCGTATATGATTTTTCATGCAAAAACTTAAAACGAAAACACAAAAATACACTGTACCGTCACTAAACACTGAAATAAATAACTTTATAACACCACACAAAGGTACTATACGAACACCTTATCACGAAATGATAAAGTCGAATACTAAAATAAAAAGGTAACAGATGATATACTCGGACAATTCCGCTTTGCCGGCAGGGAGACTATCCTCCGTTATCCACCCTTTGTAAGTAAGTTTTAGATTTAAAATATTCGCGTTTTAATTTTCTTGTTATTTTATTTACTTTGGATTAATTTATTAATTACATATATCTACCATCACTTCCAATAGTAAATATTTAATAAATCATGTAAAACTTTTTTTTTTTCAGAAATAATTTTTTTTTTTAAAGATCGTCCCTCAACCACAGTGACATCAAAAAAATATGGTGACTTTAAAATAACAAGTCCCTAGGTTATACAAAAACAATCTGTTTTCCTAAATATTTTTCCATAACTTCGCACGATGTATGTAGTTGATATAAAAGCAACTGGTAACGCAACTTCATATGTAAATTCCGGGAGTTTATGCCGTTACAGGCACACGTACTATTGCCTGTAAAAAATTGACTAGGCCCTAAGGAAAATACGTCCCTGGATACTGACTACCTGTCTACCACACCAATGCTGATTGTAGTGAATCGCTTGTAAATCATTTTTAAAGAACATTACATTGACACAAGACATACCAATGTGGTTCTGTTATTACTTGCAATTTCTTAAATGCCTCAAAATAACAAAAAAAAATTAATTTGACATCTCGTATCTGAGTTAAGGAGCGATTTATGACCTATGTTCAACTTTTTTGTTCAAAATCAAATTTTCTATCCCTAAAATTAGTATGTTTAAGGAAACACACATCTCTTTCATACGTATTTGTTGTGAAGACGCACATTTGACGTTTGAGTACATTTGCAGTATATTAATTTACATGAAATAAACACTTCAGCGTAAGGATGTATATCCTCAAAGATCATTCAACTCTGAAGCATTTTTAGATGGACTATTATAGTAAGATATAAGATAGAAAAAATATTAAAAACAGATAACAAAATGTAAAAAATTTCAAATGGAGCAATTTTTTTGGTAGTAAGAACTAAGACTCACCTCATCCTGCATACCAGGACATTTTGTAACGACTATATGGTGACACCTCTTGTGTACCACGCACGCGCAAACTGTAATGAATTTGAGTTAGAACAAAAGAAATTATAAAACATTGAATAATTCTAACCTAACATCTAACACCGATTAAATAATGAGTAAGATAAGAAAATCCTTCACAGCATATTAAAAGAAGCAATTTTATATACACTATTTACAAACAAAGAAGCATTTTCAAACCTTATTTATGAGCAGTGTAATTAAAAATGTAAAATAAAAGAAAAATTTAAGGAACTTACAAAAAAACTAAAAAGCTATAGACAGCCATGCCAGTGGTGCTGCAAATGAAAAAATATATAAATCAATTAGGGCGGTAGTTTAGGCCGAAACCCCATACATGCAGTGAACAAAAAACCATAACCATATTTTATCTCATAATAAGTTATAATATAAGGAACATCAAAATAACCTTCCCGTTCAACTAAAACAAAGAATCTGAAAACAATCTGAAATTAACAAGTTTTACATACATATGATTTATTTATCCATTTTCTGAAAAAATAAAAAATGGCAAGACTTTTAAGTTCATTACAAATTTTTCATTTCAAAAATGTGTTAAGAATTTAAAACAATTTATAGATGACTGCAGCGTTACATTTGGAAAGAAATATATACAGGTATAAAATTTAATGAAATCACAAAATTACCTATAAGGGTTCGATACTTAGAGAAATCTTATTTTGACATAAATATTTAGAAAAAACAAATATAGTAAAAGCTAAGCTGGTAAAATATACATCGAAACATCGATCATGCTTGAGACAAAATCATACCTTGACATTGATAGCCTTGCTTGCCCAAACCCCTGAAAACAAAACCACCGTTATGAAGTTAGTGCCATCTAATGTGCATTTCTTTATAAAAAAATCAAACAAAGGGTATTAACAGTCACTATCTACACCTAGATTATTCTTCATTTATGTAAAAATTGATAAGTTTACAGAAAAATTAAAGCTGATATAATTAAAAGCACATATACTGAAAAGGTGGTTTAAGAATAATTACTGTTATGAGAAGAGAATAAAATTAAGCCACTATCAGTTGCACCTGGTTTCTTTTAAAAGAAAATAAGCTGTATGTTAAAGTCCAATCAACTCTAGGGACGAGTGCAGAAAAACACACCAGTATGGCAGTAATATCTTCGAGATAAAAAAAATACATTTAGAATATAAGATACGATTATTGAGCAGGATGTCTGCTGCGGCGAGTAGTGATGTCAATATTGTAAGCACATCTCAATTACCCATTAATTTATGAGACCCGAAGTACCGGGTACCGAGACTTAACCTCTGCAGAGAGCTTTGGAATTGTGATAGACAGATATTTGTAAACTACCATCCCGTGTCTCATACCCAGTGTCAGAATATTGGATCCCCACAAATTATAGAACAATCCTTGCGAACAGTCAATAATGGCCAGGATACACACTTTGTACTTCATACAAAGTAACAGGTACTAATTTAAAAAATACTAAATAACCTAAATATGCCTGTAACGTACCTGTATTTATATTTGGTAATTTTAAGGAACTTTTCAGAATTTTCATGTTTTTCACATTTTTATATCAATTTGAAATTATAGAGGGTTAAACAAAAATTGCTTGTAAAACTACAAAATATATTTAAGAATAAAAATTAGTGAAGAAATTATTACAATTCGCTGTAATCGTAACTACTTATTACGTTACAATAAATTAGCTAATGTACTGGCTAAATTTCAGACCAACTTTCCTAAATATTTAAAATGAACATTGTCAAAATTGTATAATGTAACTAAATTTGATACTATCAAGTCAGTCAGTAAAAAATCACTAAAATTGATCAATAAATTAGAATCTTCTATAAATAGGAAACCGATATCTAAGGAACCATATGACAGCCCGTAGAAATCAATTAGGTACTTGTATAGACCCCATACACGATTATATGCACCACCTATACCACAGTTTGTGCAAATTTATTGAAAATAGGCATGTCTCTGTCGGCATTTTCTTCTATTTGCCTCAATTTGTTTACTAATTTCTCATAGCCTGCATTTTTTAAATTAAAATTTTTATAAAGTTCACTTTTAACTTTCCATAGTTCGAGTAAATCATGATACATCTGTATAAATTCTCGCCAACATTCTTTATTTCCATGGAGCCTATAAGATACATAATTTACAATAATTCGCCTTCAAACTAGTCGTTGACTAACTTAACCTCCATATGCATGATAACGGCAATGCCACGGTTCTCGACGTAGCGTATTACTTGAAATTCGTAGGTGTGACATATTACATATATTTCAAGCTTAGGCATCCAAACAAACAGAATGATCGAATGTGAGCAAACGAACGCTGAGCCCAGCGCTCCAACCAAGTGCAACGTTGACAAATCTAAAGGCTCACTACTTTAGTCACTAGCGAATCTTCAGAAACTCTCATTTGACTTTAGAAGTACCCGATAAACCTCCTTAAGGTAATTTTGACATAATGTAATCAATAATACACTATATAATTTTCTCAAAAACTAATATTCCGGGGATTCTTTACAAGAATAACCTTTTTATGCAACAGGTTCTGCTGAATTTAAATTTTTCAAGAAAAATAAGAAACTGGCTCGTTAAAAAATGTAAGGAGAAATAATTCATATTGCCTCTTAGTAAGTACCAAAATTTATATTAAAAGTAGTTCCAGAGATAAAAAATAAAAACCTACAGTACAAAAACATCTGTTATTTTAGTAATGCATTTTCAATGTGTTTTATATAACCTTCTTACATGAAAATTTACAATGTGAAGATTTTGATATTACGGACCACTTTTGAGTCAATTAATTATTATTAATTCAGATACATAATTAAATTCAAACGCAATAAAGACATTAAGTAATAACAAATTATTTAGAATAGGTTGGACTACAGTTTAATTCAAGAAGTCATTCCCTATTTTTGTTGGGCAGCCCATAAAATATTCAAAAGTTCAAGGAAGAGAGTTATTATTTCTTGAACTGTGAACATGCTGATGTTTGTGATTTGAGAATCAGGATCCATAACCCTGGTTAAGACACTTATCTCTAATTAGTAGTGCTGGAAATCCTATTAGAATAATTCAAATATTTGAATTATTACTATCTATAAATTCAAATAAATGCAAATGTAAATAATCTAATAATATAACTATTCCAATTATTCGAATAATAATAATAATAATAATAATAATAATAATAATAATAATAATAATAATAATAATTTTTATTGTCCTTATCAAATACCAACACAAAAGTATAAATAATGGTGTAGGACTAGCCAATAAAAACATTTTAAAACCTTAAATATTCATCTACACTATAAAATGAATTAATCCAATAATTAGAATATTCGTTTATTCAATTTCCATTATTCGAATAATGTGAATTATTTGAATTATGTAAACTATTCGAATAATTCGAACGTTCGAATAAATATTTATATAACTATTCAAATACAAAATTTTAAAAATTTCTCAGCATTACTAATTAGTATTTTAAATCTATAGTATCTGTATCTCTTTCAAGAAGTTTCCTTCCTAATTTTACTCCATTACATTATTCATTCTGGACACAGGACATATTAACAAAATTCTTATCATAAATTAGTCATAATAGTAATAAACTATTTCAACCCAAAATAAACAATGCATTTTTCTTAATTAAGGCAAGTGCAATTAGAAAACTAAACACAGCAGACAGAAACAAACGAGTTAGTCACAGTATTCCCTCTCAACAGATTTGTTGACCAAAAAATATGTAGAAGACTTACCAAATGAAATCTCTGCAGTGTGAACAAAATGTTGGTTGGCGCAGAAAAGTCGCCATAAATTTATGATCGTTAACTTGATGGACTCTCCTCCTCATAGCACCGCGTCTTCTATTGAAGCCCTGACGCTCTTTAAATTCTCTCGGTTTCGCTCCATATTCTACAAATTTTAATTATACAATAGAGGATATCAAGAAAATGGTGGATAATCTCTCGAATTTCAGTAGATCTCATGACAATCATGTCACAAGTTTGTTTTTTTTCTCCCAGCTTTCTGTTATCTGCTCGAAAGCTGAATGCTAAAAATGGATTTATTGTTATAACTTTATTCTTTTTCATTAAATCTGATTAACTTTTGGATAAAGCCATTTTTTGTATTTATTTCTACTAATGTATTAAATTTACTGACGACTACATTGGAGTCTGGAGGCAGAACACTATTCTTAATGAAATATACGTTTTTTAAGATTAATGAAGACTCCATTTTTTTTAGTATAAACCAAACATTAAAATATCCTGAAAAAAAAAATCGAGGTTTAAATTTGGTAATCAAGGCCGACAATTTAAGCCAACAATTTTTTTTAGACCAAGTAATCTTAATCTCTTAATTAATTTGATATTTGATACACATCTGTTTTGCTATATATACGGCCAACTGTTTTCAAGTATTTGTTACTACTAAGATGATAGAAATGAAAAGATATCTTTATCATTAAACGCGTTTATCTTACGAACAATTTAAATAAATCTGGAAATGTAAGTCTTATAAACGGCAATAGAAATTACAAAAAATTTAACAATTTTTGTGAGGTAGTGACTGTCAAGACTGCTCTGCTCCTTGACCTCCAAAATAGTTATTGGTAAATTGAATACATTAATCGAAATAACTTTAAATAAGACAGTTTTTACCCACATTTAATGAAAATGATGATAAATCTATTACCAACACCCAATTTCAAGAGCCAATAACTGTGGGGTGTGCAAGGAGAAAAAAATTTACATAAACTTGCGCATACATGTATGTCATAACACCACTAATAAATTTTTATTTTTAACTATTACTTTATAATACAAAACCATAGGCAAATGTGACCATTTTTTTATTGTAAAAAAATCGGGAGGTAAGTACTATTAATACTATTATCTCTTAGACGATTCTTATTCAGAGTGATTTGAACCAACTAGACCAATTTTGGTTTTTCAGTTGAGCTTAAAACAAATATTTTTTGGGGTACTCTGTAACAAATCATGTAAATGATGTTGAAAAAAGACCTGGGAACTTTAGAAAACCTGTAGTTATGTTAAAAACATTTACTATGAATGAATATCTAACAACTTATTCCTAAATCATGTAAAACAGTGACATAGGCAACGCTATGGGATATAAACACACATGTTATCATCTGCAAGACTATAGTGGTATGACGATGTGCGGTCATAGCAGCTGGTTGCTGGTTGTATCTTTAGTCTCCATCTGCATGTGAACCCTCTACTAGGTTTGTACTCTAAGACTCCCGTGGTCTATTTCTATACAAAAATCCCTATTAGTATTTTTCCAATTTTGCATCAATAAAATGGTCACAGTTGTTTTGAACTATAAAATGTATTAATAAATAAAAAAGTTACAAGAGTGGCTGCTTCTTAGGTTACACAAACTATAGAAAGATTTAGTATTCGCATCTTTTATGGCCAGTTTCAAAATTAATTATTTAAAAAAAGTTTAATTGCAAAAAATAATTATTCTGAAGCCAGTTTATAAGTTTTTCCATTCACTTCAACCATGTATCAATAATTATCTCTGAACTACATCTAATAAATACACATATCATATGTGATAGAAACAGCAATGAAAAAAGTTTATAAATTCTCTATTCTTACATAATAAACAATTTATTTAACCGTATTCATTTTCTCACAAAACATGATATCTAAAATGTTGGGAAGTTAATTAGATTTTAATTTAAAGAATAAAATAAACAGTAAAACGTAAAATTATTCTCCAGAAAACAAAGTACCAAACAGTCATTTTTTACAATTAATAGTGAAAACATTTTTTTTTTAAATAGACACAAGTAACTAACTTAATAACTTGGCTAGTTATGAGTATCAAATTAACAAAAAAAAATCTAATGAGATATCTCTTATTTAATTACTATTTTTATACCTAAACACTACTCAAATAGGTACACATACCATTCGATGTTAATTTCAGATCTATTCTTATATGTAGTCTACCCTTGGGTTCCAGATTGACCTACAAAAGAACGATAACTAAATAAAATTGTCTAATAAAAATATTTTTTTAATTATTCAGCCTAGTGTTGAATTTATTTTTTATTCAATTATAAATATAATTCATATTTATAATTTCAGGTAAGTATCTCATTTCATATACATATATTACGAGGTACATTATCAATTGAGATGTTATCTAAACGCTAGTAAAAGTTTACCACATCCTGAAGTAGTACCATAAAGTTAATGATATTTAATTTGTTTCTGTGAACAATAATCCTTAATAAAAAGTTGTAATGTTTTCTTTTAAAGTTAATTAAACTATTCACTTTTTTAATGAAAACAATTTTTATGAGAATTAGCAATCAGTTATTAAGAATATTTGTCATTGTTATAAATAAAAAAAAATTGTTATAACTACATAGTTTTTATCGGTTTTTATGATACTTATGCCATTGTTGTTTACGATTAATTTTATATTAATGCACCATTACACATAAAATTTTCAATTTATTTTAGAATTTATGCAACAAAATAAAATAAAAATAAAATAGTCATATTTCACTTACTAGTTTTTGTAACAGTTGGTAATAGAACATATTATTCGAGGTACTTATTGTTATATTTTTTGATAGGACGTATCACACTTAGTTCTTGTTTGAAAATCGTGTAAGTAGTAGCAAAATAATGCTGTCTATTTGCAAATTTCCATTAGTTGGCAAATTATAAAAAATAGTAGGTAAGTATACAGGGTGTCCGGCGAGGTATCAGGTAAATAATGGATAATCTTTTAACCGTGGATGAGGGACCCTAAGGTTTTCAGTTATTTCGGGTTTTTTTTTGAAATTTCCGCCATGTTACTTTATTGGTCACTACGACCACAAGAGAACATATTATCTTTCAGTTATTTTGTTTAATATTCTTGAATTGTGTTATTATCAGATGCTTGTCAGAATTTTTAACTAGCAATAGTTCTTGTTTAAAAAAATCTTAAACTTAAATTTTACGTTAGTCAGCAAAGGTACAAATGAAAGCTGCGAAGGGCATTCATAAGAAGGTGCAGAGCCTGCATCAGGGAAGGCGGCAGACAATTTAAACATTTACTGTAATTTTTAAATAAAATTAAATAATAGCTACTTTGTACTAAGACAAAAGTCAACTTTCTGAACGACCTTAGGGTCCTCCATCCATGGTTAAAAGGTTATTCATATACACCGGACACCCGATATACAAACATAGAATTCTGATTCTGATGTATATTGAAAAGGGAATATTTAAAAAAATATATTCATATGAAAAAATTATAATTTTTAAAAGTTCTATCACAATTTCTCAACAAGTTCCTCTAAGGCACAAGTTTCTTTTTGACTAAGTCGCGGAACACCCAGAGAGATTGTGGGGAACCCCAGGGTTCCACGAAACACAGTTTAAATACCGGTGTTCTAAGGCATTCCCCAGCATTACCGTCTGCAAATTATATTCCTTATAATGTACGTCCTGGACTATTTTTCTACCCAAAATTATATAATATGCATAATTTTCTAAATCATGCTTTCTATCATTCTCCCTTATTATAAACAAATTTGATATAAAAAAATAACAAAAGGCTTTGATTTTGGAATGATTCATTTGAATCTAAAACATACATTGTACCTAGTTATTTTTATTTTTAAATGAGATCAGTGAATACCACATGACAGCTAAATTCAATGTTTTCTGAGTGAGCAATATTGATTTTGTTTTTTTATGTTATACTTGAAGAGGAATCACATACAAATATATTACAGTATTTGTCACTTGATTTGTAAAGTAGTAATTAAGAAATCAACACTAGAAAAAATCACATTGAATCAATCAATCAAGTGAGTCCTTTAAATTTCTATTGATGAATTTTCAATGCAACTAGCTCTTATCATCTCATTAACGTAATTGCACTATCGATACGACAATAAGGTGTTTGACTATCATCCAGAAGGCAAATGCAGTGGGAAATGAATTCCGGTAAATAGGTCTAATAATGTTTTTAGAGCTGGTGTCTCTACGGATTTTAAGAATAGTAAAGTTGTTTACTGGACATTGCACTTAATGGTGACTTTTAGGTATAAGTATCTCTAAATATAATTTTCATGTTAAAGAGTAGTTTATAGGATTTTAAGAAGACCCTTCCTTTATATGACTTTAAAGTAACATTGACATTCTGGTGACTATAACTCAAAACAATGAGGCATTTATGGTCTTATTCTTCACACAAATCCTAATTATCGGTTACAATAACTTTAGTATTAATATTTGTCACTGTCTGTGTTAAAATTGGAAATGTAGAAAAGTTCTATTGCATCATCTTCAATAAATTAATGATCTTCTGGGCTTATGTGGTTATTTCTTTTTATAAATAATGAGAAATAGGTCAAATAATTGCTAAACCCGAGACTAATTCTTTTTTAATTTGTATACTAATAGTACAGGTGTTCATTTTTTTATTTATGTAATAATTGTAAAATTCATAAAACATTTTCATCATAACCGCGGGGATTGCACACACCAAACTTTACAGCTACAGAACTACCCAAAGTAAGAAGTAAAATTAATATCAATATAGGTCAGTAAATGTTTAGTTTCCAAGATAGAGGGTGCTCAAATTTAAAAAAATACATATTGAACTAAGTATCTCTAAAGATGTTTGATGTAGACAGACGAAATTTGAGCTAATAGTTAGTTTACTCAGTATATGTTCTTTTGCAAGACAAATACTGTAATATGGAATAAAACTTATTTTAAATTCAAAAAATTCAAAAATTGAAACAACTAATTTTTCAGAAAAAGTAAGATATCTTTTTTATTAAATATCCTAACATGAGGAATTTAATTCACTTAAGTAATCAATTTTTAAAATAATCAGTAGAAATTCTGGGGTTCCTATTACCTTCCTGTATTTCCACCACTAGTTGACATATTTGTTGACCAATTTAATGGATCTTTAATTTGGTAAATTTGTAACCCAAATTTTATCTGCCCTCATCAAATGTCTTCAGAGATATTTGAATAAATACGACTTTTTTTTAAACCTGAAAACCCTATATCTTGGAAACTAAGCAGTTCTCATCCATGTTTATAGGATTTTTTTCCTATTTTGAGGGATTCTATCAAGTAAAGTTTGGTTTGTACAATTTGAAAAACTCTGTATTTGCTATGGCAACAAAAACTGAAAAGTCCAAAACAATCAATTATTAAACAATGAAAAATATGAGCCCTCCCTATCTGACAACCTTTAAAACTTGTATTTTACAAAATATATATTCCCAATAACTAAATAAAATAAAAACCTAAAACCTAAATCTTCACTTTCTACTCCTTAATATGCCTTAAAAAATGAATCCAGTTGTTACATTATAACTTAAAATTTAACTAAAATATCTTCATACTTTTTAGAATCCAAACTTTAGTTAACTCATGATTATAACTATAACTCAAAACTTAATTTATCATAAACATTTGATATGAAATTAGAAATTTTAATATTTCGACTTCTACTTTGCTAAACTTACATTTACATTTCACTTTATAAAAATGAATAATATGTACCTACTTATTATAATACTGAAAACAAAATTTTATTTTTTGAGGCTGATACAAGTAAGCTTTAATTTAAAAGATCGAAAACGTTTAATACATAATAAAAGTTTTAATAGTGACTTCTTAAGACAACAAAAAAAAAACAAAACATACAATTTCGTTAAGATTGTATTCGAGAGATTTGTAAAAAAATATTTGTTACATTATGTATTAGTTTTGAGTAAAAACATTAGAAAATATGTACATAATAGCATATTATCTAGCATGTATTTGTATTTAATAACATGTGTAAAATGGTAAACAATAAAAATGAGCATTCCGATTCCTATTGTCCCAGTGGTGACTAACAGTTTGTATAAGGGTAGTGAAGACCACTCAGGCTGTCCCATACTCAAAATTTCTGAAAAATACTAACTTTATTCTGACTTACCCAAAAATCAGCTTCATCTTTTTCTCTGTTCATAAGATCCTCGAAAGGAATGCTAACGTTCGCGACGAATTCGTCTGGCGGTATAGCGGCGTCATGAAATACCGTCAGAGTGAGTGTCTTCGCATTCTCTACCTGGTGCTCAAAATATTCATTCCAAACAGGATTAAAGGTCTTCTGCTTGGTGGTGGATTGAGCGACATGGGTGTCATCCACGTCGATGGTAACATAGGGGTCCAGAGGCTGCTCCTCCGCCTTCCCAAAAGTGTGGCGCTTGGAGCAGTCCGTCGGCCTAAGCCACTGGGCCTCGCATATTTTCACGCGAATAGTCCCTGTGAACATGGCACTGATCCACTTTACACCTCACCTTCGAGAATGGATTTATTTTCTCCACCACCGTCACTATAACACTTAACAACTACATAGGGAGGAACGAAATATTACCCGACAAAATACAGCTCGATTGACAGCCATGAAGGACGGCTGGTCTCGATTTTGCTCTCGACTTCTCCTCCACCCTTATAAGTTGGGAATGTAGATTTCTTCCGTCGATGTTGAAACACAAATTATAACTTTTTCCATCAATACTAGATGGAACTAAAAATAATTTGTCCCCTATAGGGATTTTATCGCGATATTTCATTTATTCAACCAACAGTAATACGGTAATACCAATGGCTAAAGCTGTAACCGAACCGCCACCATTATGCCATGGCTAGAAATTGGCCTCAATGATTTGGGATCGAGGGGGATTATCCCTCTTTATCCTGCCTCATCTCGTGTAGGCCTGGACAGCCTTCGTAGATGGGCCCCATCGGTCGTCTACCCCGACCGCAAATGCGGCCGGTATAGGCGCTTTGTGGGACCTCCTTTTGTCCTGGCTGGGCCCCGCCGGCTAGGGCCCTTTCTTCTGGCACTCTTCTTGCTTCGCCGGCTCGTCTGTGTAAACCCCGGGGGTAGTGTCATGTTTATGTGTGGTATGGTTGGGTAGGGTAGTGCGGCTATGCAGCCTGGGATGCGCTTTGCTAAGGTGGCCCTTAGGCTAGCGCGGGAGGGGAGNATGAAAAATATGTGGTTTCACCCTAAATTGCTCGGCCCCTTCTAAAATTCTTAATCTTAAATGTTGTTCATCCACAATTGGAACCATGTAAACAAAATCTTTCATAAACCCCCAGAAACAGAAGTCTAAGGGATTAAGGTCTGGGGATCGAGGTGGCCATTTGACTGGCGCAAGACGTCCCCGCAGTGTGACCATATATTTTTTAGCGAATCTACTGTAAAATTGCAGAAAATCCACTAAAATCTACCAACATAGTAATAAGAAATTACTAAAAATCTACTTCACTGTTATTTGATCAACTTAACTAGTAAAAGCCATAGATAAGGACAATATACGTTAATTGCACATTGATTAATAGGGAGATTTTAAGCCACTTATTTGAGCAACGTTAAACGTTATCCGTTATACTGATCATGCGCAGTAGTTCGAAAATAACCGATAACATTAATAACCGATAACGTTGTCCGTAATTTAAGTTGGAATAACGTTACGCTAATAAGCGTATCGGTATACACACCATTGCCAAATGTAACAGTTATCTTATTTACAGGGAAGATATGCTTATTAATTTTGTTAATATATTCTGTACATATATCACATACGCTTTCTGTTTGCGACTGTAGGTGGTATATTACGTTATATATAAGATATCCGACAAAATTATCTCAATAAATAAGTATAACTTGGCAACGCCAAATTTTTACGTCTAATTACTATTACAATATTATTTTCCAGTGCAGCCATAATATGTACATGTAATCAGATATGTGCATGTAATCAAATACTTGATGTAATTAAAGAGGTAGCGTGTATCGATAACATAAAAGAGATTTTATATGCCTAGAATAATATTAATAATACAGGTTATATGTTACGTTTACGGTTAACGGAATTGTCAAGGTAAATCCTGGTATAAAAACTGAATTAACGAAATATTTGGACCCTTATTTTTCATTAACTGCGCATGATCAGTATTACGTTTAACGTATAACGTTCCTTAAATTTTAGGTGGCTTAAAATCTCCCTATAGACTGTGAATAATAGATGTAATGTTTTTAGGACGTAGAATAATTTAGGCGACGGTTGGAATTGTTTCTGAGCATATAAAGGTCAAAGCTTATAAGATTTTGAAACAACTCTACGTACGTCATAAAATCTGTCAAATAGGAACCCGGAGCTGCTTTTCAATTAAAATTAAACCTGCAGATCATTTACTCTCCAATTGAACTACTCCCGAATTACTGCCATTAAAAGTGGAAAGTAATTGGAATATTAATAATATGAGGATTTTAGGAGTAGATGTAAGTGGACATTATTGTTCTATGATTATTACTATAGATAAAGGTAAGTTATAGTTGTCCATATAGAGTATAATTTCTAGTACTCCAAATTGGGACGCTTCCTAGAGGAGCTCCATAAGCATATAAGTATTTTACGAGTATTTTTTTGTTTTTATTAATGTAAGCCAAAATCCAGAGTTAAATATAAAATTCACTCATTAAAGCACAATTACTTACAGTGACACAAGTATAATTATGGAAATTAAATAATTCAAGGCGGCTGTAAATAATATTGTTTAAGAAACATTTTCACAAATGCTAACCTCAAATTTTGTGAGAACAAAAATCTGAAGTCTATATGAGCGAAAGATTAGTATAGATTAGGGAACTCTCTGAATTTGGCCCTAACACTGTTTGGTAAAAGTTAGTACGTGAGGCGCGGGGTAAACAAATAAGAACACTTTGAGCAAAATATTCCAGTATATTTAAAAGCAAAATGTTAATTTCAAATGTTTCCGAAGTATCCGAAGTACATTGTTAGTCAGTTGGAAAGCAGCTAATTTACCATTCAAAAGAAAAAAGAAAGCACCTCTTGTCACTGATTAGCTTCTATCTTCGAGCATATACTACTGAAGGCCTTTCGATTTGGCAAAAAAACTAGCTATTAATAGCTAATAGCAACTTAGATTTACTCTGAACTGATATTAGTTGCTAATAGGAACTATTTTTGCCAAAACGAAAGCACCTCTGGAGTAACTAGAACAGCATGCTATTTCGAAAAGTGTGGCTGAGTGTGCGAGAGAGACAGACAGCATATACTGGTACACTTTTCGCAATGGCATGCTACGTCCAGTAGAATATGCTCGAAGGCTTCCATGAATTTAACTCCACTCTTCAGATTAATTCAAAATCTGGGATTTAACTATGCATAGAAAATAGAAAAACCTATATAATTTTCTATGATCTATGATCACATCAGACATGTGTGAGGTTATGTTTAGAGTGTTACGATATGATTAATAACATTTTTTGTAATATTTTATTTGTTAAACACACATGTAGTAAAATATTTACTAGAAATTTATCTTCAGTTACGATTTTACCAAAAGCAAAGGAAATCTCCCTTTTAAATAATGTATATACAACAGACAGTTACACAAACGTTACTGAAAAAATAATTTCCCAATTAGGAAAGAGTATATATTTAAAGCCGTACCATCCACTGAGTTTAGTTCGTCAAAGAATAATTAACTATTTTTATAAAACTTTTGTGAATAGACGTGAAAATCCTGTATTTTCCATCTACGAAAATTTACCACCCATTGTTAGTGTAACTCAGAACTTTGAGAGTTTACTTATCCCTGAAGATCATCCATCTAGATCGAAAAATGATTGTTACTATATAAACAAAAAATACTTATTGCGAGCCCACATGACCGCACATCAGTCTGAATTGATGAAAGCAGGTTTAAACAATTTCTTAATGATAGGAGATGTATACCGCAGAGACGAAATAGACAGGACCCACTACCCAGTGTTTCATCAAGTGGATGCTGTAAGGTTAAAAAGCAGAGAGGATTTATTCTTTAAAGATGAGGCATTACATATTTTTGAAGAAGGTAATAACACTGCTTTTACCACAAATCAAGAAAAACAAGCTTGTCATACTTTGGAAGCCGTGAAATTAATGGAACACGAGTTAAAAAACACTTTAGTAGGGCTAGCCAAAAATCTATTTGGAGAAAATACAGAATATCGGTGGGTTGATACATATTTTCCATTTACGCAACCCTCCTGGGAACTTGAAGTATTTTATGAAAATGATTGGCTTGAATTGTTGGGTTGTGGTATAATGCAGCAACCAATTTTGAATAATGCTGGTATAAACAATAGAATAGGCTGGGCATTCGGATTGGGTTTAGAACGAATAGCAATGTGTTTATATAGAATCCCAGATATACGATTATTTTGGTCTAGTGACTCTGGATTTCTCAACCAATTTAAAGTTGATGATATCAGTAAAAATATTGTCTACCAACCAGTGAGTCAGTATCCCCAATGTATAAATGACATCAGCTTTTGGCTTCCAAAAGATCGTGAATTTTTTAGTAACGATTTTTATGAATTAGTGAGAAATATCGGTGGTGATTTGATTGAACAAGTTTCTTTGGTTGATACGTTTACTCACCCTAAAACAGGAAAAAAGAGCCATTGCTATAGAATTGTCTACAGGCATATGGAAAGAACTTTAACTCAGTTGGAAGTGAATGCTGTACACAAAGAAATAGAGAATAAGGTGAAAGACCTTGGTGTTATAATTAGATAAATATTTGTTATTTATAAATAGTGTTGGAATTTTTTTCTTATTATTTATTGTGTAATTAATAACAGAATTAAAATTCTTCATAAAATTTTGTTTTATAAATTAACTGGAAATTAAAATGGTGGGACCGGACACCTGATTTAGTAGCGAGTCTTTTTAAGTATTTGAAGTGATGTTACTGCTTCAATTATATGTTACAAGGATGTACTAATCATTATCAATGGATGTCCTTACCTAAATAAAATAATTGTTCAATGAAATTGAAAAAAACATTTATTTTCTTCTATGTATATTTCAAAGATAATGCACACCATAATGCATTATATATTTTTTCAACATATTCATCTAAGAATTCTTAGTTTTAAGTATCCAAATAAAATAATTTGCAATATTTTAAGTTCTTTTAATATTGAAATTTGTCTTTTATTGTATTTTGTATAAATAAATACTGAATTATATCTTGAATAAATCCATTCAATATATTAAAATATTGATAAAATATCAGTTAAAAATAATAAAATATCTGTGTGAAAACAACATATAAATATATCAAGTAGCTTGCAGAACACTGAAGGTCACATAAAATCTTTTCTTTAGAAAGATTAATTAAAAATGCAGTTTTTTTCAAAATTTGAGCTAATTTAAATTCAAAGCAGGTATGTCAAATTCACTTACAAGATGTTATACATCAAAGACCAGCTACTTTGTAAAAGTTGTCTTCTTGACTTGGGGATTATATTCTCAAAAAAATTAATGTGGTGTGTTTTTAATTCAGCGATAATTTAAAGGCGAAACAGTTCGTATGCCATCTTCGGATTTTAAGGCAAGGTATCAAAGATTTATTGTCTCGGCTTGGAGATTACATTCTCAAAAAAACTCTGCCTTCAAATTAAATTTAAAAAAAAAACAGTTTTTTTTTAAACTAGTCTTGTGATCTTCACAGTGTTACCCATGCTATGTTATATTTATTTGTTGTTTTACCTGTTCACGTAGGCTCATGAACATTCAGGCATTTTATGAGTTGCAGCTGTTATAGGTAATAAAACAACAAAATTGTTAAATTATATAAATACAAGAATAAATATCTGAATATAAAATATAAAAGGTAATAAAGTTATTGATTTTTATTTTGACATCGGAGAGTGCAAAGTATATGTACACACTTTAAAGAGCGATTTTTTAAGAGATTTTAAACCAAAAATATACATTAAATAAATATATTTATATAAACGTGCGGTGTTTGAGTTACTGGGCGTTGAAAAAATGTTCCTTTTATAAGAAATCTCCGAAGGCATTTGATACAGATTAATGAAACTTAGGCTATAATTCAATATAAATACTGTATCACTGCCAGAGATATCGCTGAAGAAATTCTACACCATTATAGATATTTTGAAAACTTCACTGCCTGTAACTCCTTGAAGTATTTCCAAGAAATACATGTTTCATTTTATTCAAAAAAGGAACCATTTTTCATTTATTTTCGGTTAACGTTATCAAACATAAAATGAATAACAACTAGACCTACTCATCGTTTCTAAAGGATTTTTTGCTAGAAATACAATTCTAAATACAAACTAATTATGACAAGTCTGAAAAAATTCATTGGTGTAAAAATGTAATGAATGAAGTTCAGGAATTTATTCATGAAGAAAATTGAAGTATTTTTGTGACTCGATGGCACAGTCCATTTTTTTTTTGTAGTTAGGTCCACTTTTGGATTGACAACAATTTTGTGTATTACACAATTAATTTGAGGCCAAAAGATTTTTAAATTTTTTTGATTGTGTACTGTTACTACATATTAAATAAGGTAGTTTGCAAGAGGTGAGGAGAAAAAAAAAAAGAATGTTATGAACTATTTCCTTAGACTTTTGAAGATTACATTGTATTGGAAATTTTTTATTTATAAAAAAAAATCATGACATTTTTTGTGAAATAAGTAGCCTTAGAGCTTAGAGCTAAATAGATCTAATGAAGTACTGACATAACATTAATAAAAGTTAAAATAGATAATAGTAAGTGGTTCTAATCTCAAATAGAATAAAAAGATCTACATATTTTCATGGAAACATCAGGAGTAAAGAAATAGTAACAGAATTTTCAAAATATCCAGTATTGTCCAATTCCTAGAGTTTTCACTGAATGTACTGAAAGTTTTATTCAGTGGATTTTTACCGTTAATTAGAAAAATCATTGGCCTAAGTTTCATCATTCTGCATCTACCGGCTTTAAAAATATTTTAGAAAGGAATTTTTATTTCAACATCACGTATCTTGGAAACTATCGATTTGCAGATTTTGGTTTAAAATCACTCAAAGAATGACCTCTCAAAGTTTATGTCTCGGTTTATGTTAACACCCTGTTTGTAGAGATGGGCATAATAGTATTATTTTAATAATCAAATTATCATTTAGTCTATAGATTGTTATGATTAATTTCAATAATTGGACGATAATTCCACTATTTACAATTGCATCATATTAATTTTCTTTAGTCATCAAATCAGCTAATGAAAAGTAGTAACGATGTCTCCATATGTTGTATTGAATGTAACAATGGTTGTCATTCAGTAAAAAAATGCAATGATAACAGTAATAACACTTCTAAATGTATCCAATAGTCCCCAACATAACCAGCCAAATGTCGAAGTAACCATCATTCGCTGTAATTGGAATTTCAAAAATCATCTTCAGATTATTTGATTAATCGAATGATCAGATTACTTGTAATTGGAATTAGCATATCACTAATTATATGACTTCATTAAGGACAAGAAATCGCATTTTTAGTAAGACAATGATAGAACAACTAGATCCATCGAGGAAGTGACGAAGCATAACACTAAACGAGAGCAACTTCTTTTAATTTTACGCATTGAAATATCAAGAAAAACAAGTAAACATCAGAAAATGTACCTTTCTTGGTTTGTCCAGCAATTTTGTAAATGTACTCGATAATTGTGATTAATGTATGTGTTAATAGTTTCCTAAAAGCATTCAGCGGGGCGTGCTTATGTTTATAGTAGGTACGCAATTTTCTGTATGTTCAGCAGGCGTGCAAAATTCAGGAAACCTAAGATAAATATACAAAGTAAATTTTATTATTATTTATTATGAATTTATTGTCAGTTGTCTTATACCCCGAGGAAAACTGGTACAGTGAAGAGGTATTGTTTCTAACTTGCTTAGATTTTCTAAAATGCTGGGCAAAAAATTGCGCATATAAATGACTTCTTTAAAATAAGATTTTTAGGAAGTTTTTTAAAATTAATTTTGAATTCACTTAAAACCTTTAAAGTAAAGTAAAATAATAAGAACCAATAATAAAATAAACAGGCTGATCCGAAACAAAGTGTAAATAATTTGGGGGAACGAAACTATAAAAAAATAATGGGACAAGCTCCTGCGTGACACTTTCAAAGTTGCAAAAGTTCAATATTCATTTTAAAGGAGTTGCATAACGTCACAGTAATTTTTTTAATTTGATACTGCAACTTGTTTTTCAGTTAAATGAACACATTTGAATGTAGTCATAAAAATTTTAAAACACTATTTACCAGGGAATTGGTTAGAATTTTTTTAATTAGGGTTCTTCAAAAAATTAGATTAATAAAGATTATTTTAGGAAGAGGAATAAGAATTTAGCTGACCTAATCATGACGTTACACCAATAATAAGAGAAAAAAAATTAACTGAAAATGAAGTTGTGGTAAAATATCATTTTGAAAGTAATAATTTGTAAATATTAAAGTTATTAAAAATGTCACTGATAGAATCACCTCCTAAATTTTTTATATTTTATTCGGTATCACTCCTGTATACTGTTAAAAAGTAGTTGATTGAACATTAAACGCGTGATTTTTTTTTTATATTCACGAGTAAGCTTTCAAATATGTTACTATGGAAACAGTGACATTGATTAAGCAAAATGTCGAAGTCGACTGAAAATATAAGAAATTTAGATATGTATAAAGAATTACAATCATCGATAAACAAAGAGAAGCTATATTGGATAAGAAATGATGCCAAATTAAGGGCCGTTGTGACATCGCAATCATATGATGAATTTAGGTATATATTCAATAGTTTTATGCAAAATTGATTATTTTTTATTATTGTCATAGAGATATTGTTGCTGCTGCTCATCTGAAGCCTCTATCCAAAAAAGATATTACAGAGAAAAGACAAATGAGTTGGAATAAGTCAAAGATGGATTAAAAGACCAATGTAATACAAACATTTTATTAAAAACTCCAAATAAATGTTTTGTATGTAAATTTTTCATTTGTATATATAGTTTTTCTTATTTAAATCTCAATCACCACTTATAATAATTATTTTTGAAGCCTAAAAAGCTCATTTTTTAAAATGCAACACCTACAGCCTATATAAGGAATGGTTAACAAGAATAGAACTATAAAAAAATAACATTATTTCAAGGGGAAAATATTAGATTATATACAAAAATTTTTTTTAAACATTTATATAAAGCAAACATTTTTGCTAGTTGTAATGTTTATTTTAAAATTCACATATTTGATCAATTAAAATATAGTGCTCATTCTTTTACATTCTTACCACCCAATTTTTTTTGTGCTTAAAATTTACTAAAAATAATTGAATTTGTAACTTTAAAATTCTAAAATTTTTCCCTTGATAAACATCAAATATTTAAAATACTAAAAGAATACATGTTTTGAGAGCCAATGTATATGAAGTTCTGTATGTTTCTTTTTTAACAGACTAAAAGTATGAAGGTTAAAAAAATATGAATTCAATTTGTTAAGAAAAATGTATCGCATAGTCCACCTATTAACTATTCCAGAGTAACATAAAAAATGAGACGACTATTTTCTTGGCTGTTGAATATGAATCTGTGGTTTAATAGGATGGTTTACTGGAGGTTTGTCCTTATGAAAACTCTGTACAGCTTCTGCTGGAAAATCAGCATTGCCTTTTGGCACTGCACCTGATATAGTAGTAGTTTTTGGTGGGCTGCCCGAAACAGTAAGTCCAGTTACATCTTCTGTTAAACCACCAGAATCTTTACGGGTTTTATGTTGAGTTATTCTCATACCGCCTGCTTTAACTGCAATTCAAAATTAAAAACTAAATGTATTATTTATGTACAATGATAGCAAAATATTGTGTCTATATTTTAATTGCAGTATGATAATTGAAGGAATGTAGAAAAGTATTTTTCTTCGTTTATAGTTAATGGATATCAAAGTTTACACAAACATATAAAATATTTTGTTATCTGATTAGATTAATTTAAAATTTTCCTATAGTAACACTGTACATATAGGTATATTATATACCTACACGTACATATATCCAGATAACTTATTTATTATTACTACTCCTGCAAAGCTGTTATTGTGAAATATACATCGGGGTTCCAATGTTGTCAAACTGTATTGTGCAACTTTTTGCAAAAATATTTTTAATTATATTTTTTATATTTTAGCGAAATTTATGTTTGACCTATATACGAAAAATGTTATATCGGCAATGTATCTAACTAATGACTTTTTTATATTTTAATAACAATAATGAGAAAAGTATTAGGAGTCTGGCTAAATTATTTTGTGTAATGTGAATAAATTCTTTTGACATTATCAAAGCTGCACTTTCTATTCTCAGCAAAAACCTTGTTTAACAATTTGGTACATTTAACACCTTGGCACAAATTACATGTGGTATATTCTTAAAAATAGTGTCATTACTTCAAAAAAAAAAAGCAAAATTCTGTACCTGCTGGTGGGTGTCCCCCTTTCAATTCGTTGTCTGTTTTTGGACTGGACATTTTGAATTTCCCAAACAATTTTTTTGTTACACAAATAGGTACAATATGGTATATCTAGTTAATGGACTCGGACTCAACAATTTTGTAAACAAATACACGTAGCTACACTACACAGATTATTTTTAACCTTGGAGTTTTATTCGTAGTAGACGAATAATACGTAGCTAACTTGACGACTTGACAATCTTGACATTTTCAATTTAGTTATTTTGTTCCATAATTATGCGAAACACGAAAAGTCAGCTGTACACTATACAATACAATTACTAGAAAAGTCTTGTTCTTTCGTTCAACATTTCGGTATGATGGTTTCTGTGGAGATGTTTTAAACATTACACCAAAATGTTGAATAAAAGAACATGGCAAGGATAACGGCCGGTTATAAAAACAAAAATGTGTGATTATTATCGAAAGGAACCATAAAAAAGTCTGATCCAGCTTAATACATTGATTTTATAAACTTCGATCTGACGATGTTGATCACGTTGCCTCCTGGCCGTGGACGACCTAACTTGCCTAAAACTGATTTTTATGTAGAAGCGGAGATGCTGAAAAGAGTTACCCCTCTATATCTGTGGTCGAGACGCTGAAAGACTATCTCTTTGTCCTGTCTCATCGCTGTAGGCCTGGACAGCCTCGTGAAGGTGCGCCCCATCCGTCGTCGAACCCGACCACAAGCATGGCCGGTGTAAGCGCTTTGTGGGACCTCCTCTTGTCTTGGTCTTGGCTGACCATCCACCGGCAAGGGGCTGCCTCAGGCGCTCTTCTCGTATTCTCGCTTCTTTCTTCGCCAGCTTGTTAAATTACCCGGGGGTGGTCGCCATAATTCCATGTCTAGAAATTGGCTTCAATTATTTTGGATCAAGGGGGATTATCCCTCTTTATCCGGCCTCATCTCGTGCAGGCCTGGACAGCCTTCGTAGGTGGGCCCCATCCGTCGTCTACCCCGATCGCAAATGCAGCCGGTGTAAGCGCTTTGTGAAACTTCCTTTTGTCCTGGCTGGGCCCCGCCGACTAGGGCCCTTTCTTCTAGCGCTCTTCTTGCTTCGCCGGCTCGTCTGTGTAAACCCCGGGGCCCGGGGGTGTTGTCATGTTTATGTGTGGTATGGTTGGGTAGGGTAGTGCGACTATGCAGTCTGGGCTGGGATGCGCTTTCCTAAGGTGGCCCATAGGCTAGCGCGGTAGGGGAGGGGTAAGGAGGGCATGGGGGGTGTGTATGTGTGTGTGTGACGTTTTCTTCGTTTCTTGATCCTGGCGGATTCTGAAACAGAAAAGGTTAGCGGGCAGGGGGGGGATGTCATTGGGGTGGTCACCCAGAGTCAAAAAGTTGGTGTCTAGGTCTTTTGTGTTTGTTGGTCATGTCGGGTACGTAGTCAACGGCTTACCCGAGGAGGGGATTGTTATGTTTAGCGGCTACATCAAACCGTTTCTCGGCGTTTTGTCTTATTGTCTGTGTAGCATTTGTGTATTGTGTAAACACTGACATTATGTCAGTTTCTTACGTACTAGGGCGCGTCGGTGGCTGTGCGGAGGGCTAAGTCACGGCACAAATTCATAGTCTGTGGTTAGTTCATTCGAAATAGTCTTACTTCATGGAATTTTAAAATAACGCGCCAAATGTATATTACTCTAAAATTTCTCTCATTGGATTTAATCAAAGTACCTACATATAAAAACTTTTTTTTTAACTTTTATATTTAATCGACTCCATTTTAATTAAAATTGTAGTTTTTCATGCCTTAAATTTATTAAAAGTAAAATTATCTGTGAAATCTTTATGTTATGTAAATTAGGAAAGATAAATGAATATGGAAGTAAATTGTAAATACTTTTATTTTATTTAAATTAGCATTTTCAGTTACAACATAAAAAAGTTATTCTAATCAGAAATGATTATACAAAAAAAATCATAAAAATATTTTGTGTACACTTTACAGATGGGACAAATGCAATTTTATTCAGCCTTCGTCTTACTTTTAGGCTTCTTTAATTTTTTAAGTCCATCTAAATTTCCTTTAAGCAAACTACTATAAGCAACTTGAAATTTGTTTATATCTTTTTGGTGTATCACGGTAGCGATTTTTTTAGAACGGAATTTTGCTCTAACTAAACACATATGTTCTTGTGATTCTGGGAGGGCAGGCTTTCCTTCTCTAGGTTTGGGACGATCCCTGCCATCATCTAAACAAAACAAACTTCTTTGAAATAGAATTTTTAAAATAGGAGTTCATTGTTTTAGCAGATTCTATATTACTTAAATCAAATTAGGAACAAAATAAAATTTCATTAAATCATTAGTAAATTAATTAGTGAATGATATATTTAATTTAAATACCCTTTACAAGCGCTAACCGTCGGCTGATTATTGGATTTTTCCGAGAGTTATATCTTCTTAAATTGTCACTTTAGTGTCAGTGATTTTAGATATTTTTGTATCTACTTCTAATAAAAACAGAGATAGGATAACTGTAAAATACCTTATTTCACTAAAATAACAGAATTAAGAGAGAAATGGATATAGAACAATACAATAATCAGCCGATGTTAAGTTTTCGATACGTTACACTCCTTTTCTCTATTAATTTTCATAACCTTCCTCTGCTTTCTCATCGTTTAAATTTTTGTATTCATATTCGAATAACCATATAATGACTTCAATTAAATTATAAAACTATGCTGAGACTGCATTAATATTTACCTACTCAGTTGTCATATTAAGAATATTATGTATATGAACTATTTTAGAATAAATTAAATATTTTATAAATATGCTTACATCTTTTAAATGTCATTGTCACTGATCCATCCATTCTAGCTTTTTGAAATAATTTTGTTAATTCGGAGAGAAACTAAAAAGAAAACATTAATTATATCCGTTTGATTTTAAATTCACATAATAAACACACAGAGTCATTTTCCAACAGAACCATATTATTTTAAGTGTAGATATAGTTATCTAGATCCAAAACTTTTTTAACTTGGTCCAAAAATATGTTGAATATTATTAACCAAAACGTGACAAGAAGAACAAGGTAACATATGAACTGAAAATTAAAGTACAAA